TCACTGGCCTGGCTGTGTGAGAGCAGTGCCGTGCCAGGGAGCTGTGCTGGGAGGAGAGAAACCCTCCGGGCTGAGCGGGAATGGAAAGCTTTTTGGTGCTGGTTCTTTCTGGAAGGGTATGGTCAGCTCTAGAGCTGGACCACTTGTTGCTCTGGGAAGTCTTAATTGGTTTTCCTTTGAGATGTGTCCCCTGCAGCTCAGACTCCTGCTCAGAACATCACCTCGGGGTGCTGGAGGAGGCCTGGAGAGTCCGACGCGTTTCCTTGGAGGGCGGGAAAAACTCTCGACTCCCCTTTTGTGGCAATGTGTGAAATTCCCTGTTTTTCTCCCCCAGTGTGTGAGAACACCCCAGTCAGGGCTGTGAGGCAGGAGAGCAGAGCTGTGTGCTGTGTCTCTCTCCATGAATTCACACAGCTCCGTGTCCCTGTGGAGCTCCGGGGGCTGAGTGCCTGCTCCCTTCGCAGACCAGCACTTCTGGTGAAGTTGGCTGTTTCCCTGCACTCACACATGAGTGGGAAGTGGCCTGCAGCGATGGATTTTTCCCTTTATGCCATCTCTAACAGTACAGAGCATTCACACCAGGTGTTATTTCAGAACAGCTCACCCTGCAATGCTGAAATGACCCATTTCCCTTCAGAGGTGAGACCTGAAGGTACCAGCGACATCCGCTGAGATGATCTTTGCAGCCCCTTCCAGCTGTCCTCCAAAAAGCTGTGATAAACCCCCTCTAACAGTGCTCTGCTCCACCTTCTCTAATGGTCTGCACCTCAGGAGCTCAGTGAGAAGATCTGCCATTAACCTTTGCAGGGGGTGCAAGGGGACAGCCAAGAGCTTCACCGTTCTCTCCACTCGCTCAGTAACACAAAGATCTCCCAACTAACAGCATCCATTGCCTTCCCCACACCCCCCTCTCCCTTTCCCATTTGCAGTCACAGCACAACCATCCCTGTAGCTGGGCCAGCAACTTGGACCAATTCCCTTTGGAAAGGACTGAATGGAGTGGGAGCTGGTTTTATTTCTGCTGCAGTTTCAGCGCAATTTAGCAGCTGGAAACGAGGAAGGGAAGCTGGTGCCACATGACAAAGCTCTCCACAATCAGCATCCCTACGGCAGCATTCAAATAAGAGGAGTTTGTTCAGCAAACCACAGTTCCACGATGGTTACCACAGGTGGCAAGTGGAGCCCCTTGGAGCATATGAGGGTAGACAACTAAATGTCCTTGGCTGTTGGGGTTTAGTCACACTGCTGGAAGCCCAGTGGGTTCATCAGTCTCTTGCTGTGGGTCCTTTGCCCATCACTGGTTCTCCTGCAGCAGCTCCTTGCAGGTTATCTGTGCACAGACAGCCAAGCAGAATCCTTTGGGCTGAAGGCTCCTCTTCCCCAGGCTCCATCCCGTGGCTGTTGCAGCTTGCACGTGGCCCCCAGGCACCGGGAGCCGCTGGAGTTTCTCTCGGCGTGCGGGATCTTGTGCAAACTCCGGGTTGGCACCTCATGAAAAGCCAGTGGTGTGCGAAGAGCTCCCGCTCCTGCTGACGCTGCAGATGCTGCTCAGCTGGCCTGGGCCCAGGGAGCAGCTCCCAGGCCAACACCTCCCAAAGAGCAGGAAGGCCGAGCTCTCCCCACCAGCTCCACGGGGAGAGGTGGGAACTCGAAGCTCTTGCCAGCTGTAACACCTCCCACGTAGAGCCCGGCATTCCTGACCCAACTCCAACCTCGCAGCACCTCACCACCATCAGGGACGGACCACCAGCTCTCCTCAAGGTGCTTCAGCGTCTCAGGACCAGAGGTGTTGGATCTAAGGGCACAAAAGCATTTGGGGGGGGTCTGATTCTGAGCTTCCTGCCCCCAAAGTTAAACTCTCTGGCAGCTGTGAAACAAGCCAAGCCTGCAGGCTGGGCTAACAGCTTCTCTGCTCTGCCTCTGACAAAGCACCCAGCTTCAGGTCCCTCTGCACAAACAACTCATGCTGGAATGAAATGCAGCAGGAACGATCAGAGCCATCCTTTGGCAACAAGATGCCACATCTGCAATTGGCTTTAAATGTTCTCATGATGCTCAGCGAGCTAAGGGGACTTTTTAGAGGCCATGTATTTCCTTTATCAGTAAAAACAGTCTATAGGGTTGGAACAAAAAGCTCTCTGGGTTGCATCAACAACTGCTTTAAGATACTATTGGCTTAAACCTGCCTTGTGCACACTAAAAACCACCTCTGCAGAGGAATCCCTTCTCCTGAGCCTCTCCTGCCATGTGGGCTCTTTGGTTACCAGCTCCTGCACCAGGGAGGGCTGATCCCAGGCAAAAAACACCCCAGGAGTTGGACTCGATGATCCTGATGGGTCCCTTCAACTCAGCATATTCTGTGATTTTATGGTTCTATGAAAAGACTTTTCCACCCACCAAGGTTTGCTCCTGGACCCGAGGCTTTCTCAGAAAAAGGTTGAACACGTTGGCACAAGCAGACAGAGCACAGTGTCTGGTGTCGGTGCCTTCCCTGACCTCGTCTGCAGAAATGGCTCAACCCTTTCTCAAAACACTTTCCTAGAAAGAAGCCAGCCTTAGGCAGACACCTGCAAACGTGCTGTTTGGCTGCTTCAGATTTGAGGACACTTTCAGCAATAAACAGGGATGTAAGTGATGCATCTGCTCCTCCTCTGACAGTGTCCCAGCCTCGGCACAAGGGCTCCCAGCAGTGGGAATGGGTCTGATGCTGCTCTTCCCTGACAGGCTGCATTAGCTCCCGGCCATGTTCAGGAGCCTGTACACAAGATGTGTTTAAACAGAATCAAGATTAGGTGAAAAAACCCAACCCACTCCAAACCTGCAGTATTCTTGGGGGAAATCTCTCCTCCCTGCTGAGGCTTTGCTGTAAGGTAGGTCAGAGTATCCACAGCTCACCCCTCCTCACTTACCCAAAATGAGGCTCCTGCAAATCACATTTCCAAGGGAACCTTTTTTAACTGGCAATTCCCTTTTCTATTTCATGTATCTTACAGTTTTTTTGTATTTAATACCCTTCAGAGAAAGCAGATTATGATCTTCCAGGACCATGGGCTGCATCCACCTGCAAACCTGTGCTGATCTAGAAGGAAACTGGAGAGCACCCACACCTTGGTACTGGTGCAGGGAAGCACATGGCCCGTGGCAAAGAGCACGAGGGGAGCAGAGGAAGGACTCAGGAGTTCTGCTCCTCGCAGTGACAGCTGTGGGAAGCTGAAGCTCAAGGTGACACACTCACAGCTGGAGACCTCAAGGGCTGGTGCATGAGCTGCTCACAGCACCCCACGTGCAACTTCAGAGAACCCAAAACTTGCCATGGTGGAAACCCACCTTTGGGTATTCCTGGAAAAAAAACACTAAGAGGAAGTTCTCACCCAAGAACATCACACATTAAAGGCTCCAACAAGGAGGGGAGAGACTGTCTCACCTCACCTCCACCCACCTGCTCACCATCCCCCTTCCCTCCATCCAGTGGTTTTCCAATGCTTTCAGCCAGAAGGTTCAAGCTCCCCAGACAGATTTCCCTGCCCTGACACACCTGGATTCACAGAGCTGTTCAAAGGCTCCACAGCAAGTTCTTCCCTTCCAATCCATGGGAACTGACAGGCAAACCACAGTCCTTGCACGGCTCTGCTGCCACCACTCATTCCCAGCAGGCTCTGCCCATCCTAACAGGAATTCCATCAGGTGCCCACACCAACTCAGCAAAGATTTGGCCTCCTTTACATACAAACTCTCATCCATTTAACTCAGCTATTTAACTGCTACAAACCACCATGTATGGCTCAAAAAATGCCTTTTGGAAGAAGAGCACCCAGATGACCTTTTGTGGAGGTTTAACAGGCACACCCGGAGCCCCGCCGGGTGGGGGTTCCATGGGGATGAGCCTTTTGGAGATCCTGAGGACCCATCCAAACCTCTGGGCCCAGCTGTGAGGCCGGAGAGGACACTGGATGTGGTACACACAGATACATGTATGTGAGAGTATCTTTTTTTTTTTTAACAAAACATCAGAGAAAAGTGTTTTATTGTTACTAAAAAAAAATAACCAAACAATGCTCTAGTGTTTTAGGCCATGGATTCTCTAGCTCAGATTCATGGCATGGAACACGTTAACAGGGAAAGTGTCTCGTGGACATCTCCCCTCCAGCCACAACCAGGCACCTCCTCCCTTCCCCGTGGTGATCAAATCACATCCTCAGGCAAGTACAGCAGTTGTTTACATGTAAAAGTAAGATTAGGAAAGTAATTAATGTATTTGTAGCCTATTTTTTCCTTGTTTTTTTCCTGTTTTTTTCTTTTTTTTTTTTTAAAAAAAAGAAGTGATTTAGCAGCTGGAAAGAAAAAGTCAGCATCACACGAGCAGCCAGCGCTGCACAGATCCCCAGCAAATGCTCCACAGGTTACACGTGGTCCACGGACCACAGTTCACAGACCACATTTCAGGGCTTCACCAGCGTTTGCAGAGTGTTGGATGGTGCTTCTTTCACAGTGAGAGCCAGCAGGTCATCTTTGGTGGTTGAAGAGAGACACGAGAGACCTCCGTGCTCGGCAGCTCAGTCTGGAGCAGCGTCGGGGTCGCGCGGAATGTGCTCCCACGGCGCTTGCGAAGCGACAGCCGCTGTGGGTCCGTGACCAGCTGTGCTTGGAGCGTGGACACCGACACGGGCTGGGCACCACATCACTCCTCCACCTCCTCCTGGGCTCCCCCCTCCAGGTCCCTGGTTCCGCAGGCACAGGAGGCGAAGGGCGGTGCCGGCGGGCGCAGACACGAAGGGCTGGCGGGTCCCTGCTCACAGCTGAGACCTCCAGAGCTCCCAGGATATCCCGAGTCCCCGGACGAAGCCACTGATCCAAGTCACACGAGGGACAGGGCAGCCACAGCTGGAGAAGCCAGGACGGGGCACCAACAGCCTGAGGCTCCTCCCAGCCTCGGGCACCAAACCCCCCTGCTCCCCGGCCAGCGAGGTCTCTCAGCACAAAAGGTCTCCCAGGCAGCAACCCCTTTTTTTTTTTTTTGCCTTTTTTCTTTTTTTAAACAACAATTGCTCTCACCCCTCATTTTTGGTAGTCACACAGACAGACACACACTGTATGTACACAATTTGGGCCCGAGGACCTACGGCACGCCAAGGAAGCACCGCTCAGGATGGTGCACACATTCAGCAGCTGTCAAAGGAGAAGTCGTTTTACTTTCTTTTAAACTTGCAATGTTTGTCTTTATTTTGTTCTTTATATTTTGAAAGTGAAAAGAAATAGTATTGAGTCAATTTTTTTTTTTTTTTTTTTTTTTTTTTTAAATATTTGTTCTATGTATTTACAAGCCTTAAAGTTGCTCTAAAGTTTCTCAAAGTATCACTAGTACTTTTTTTTCCCCGGGGTAGCACTGTTTTCAATGAGTTATTTTTCGGAGCACTCTGGTCCGCAGCAGTTTTCTCAAATGCATTTCCTTCCGATCCAAGGTTATGTACGGTTTGATTACTATTTTCTTTTTAAATTTCTGAAGCAAGCTGAGAGGCAGGCAGAAAAATCTGATGACAATTCAAAAAAAAAAAAAAAAAAATTGATCTCGTCCTCATCTAGCTCACCCCAACCCCCTTGAAAGTTTTGTCTATTTATCATGCTTTGAAACAAAACTGAGGTGCGTATGAAGGGGAGGGAAATTTATTTCTCTGCTTTTGTTCTATTATACAATTTGTTTACAGAAACTGCAAATTTAAAAATTACACTGGCATTTGCAGTCCTTAAAATAATAAATTAAAAGTTTCCAACCTTTTTTTTTTTTCTTTTTTTTTTTGCTAAACAGATTTGTTTCGCTGTGTGTTTTTTCCTAAGTATGAGTCCTTGTTTAAAAAGAAAAGAAAAAGATTAAAACAGAAAATATTTTCTATAAATAATACAGGTATTTTGGTTTGGTGCTCCCGCCCTCAGGTTTGAAGTTTACTTTTGTGGTTTTTGTTTTGTTGTGTTTTTTTTTTTTTTTCAAGTACCTTTTTGCCTCCATGATCATCACCTCGGTGTTTATCGGGTTTTTACCTCTCCCACTCGTGCGTGTGTGGGGCAAGGGGGGTCTGCGAGAGAGAGAATTGGCCTTGCTGCACTGTGATTGGCGAAGACGTGAAACTCTTTAAAAAAATACTTAAATTGTTTCTTTTTTTTTTTTTTTTTTTTTTTTTTTTAATGTTTTAAATCTGTATTTTAAGTTTTAATTATCCTCCGACTCCTCTTCGGCCTCCCGTAGCCACGTGAAGAACGCCGTGACGGATTTGAGCGCCACTCCCTTGCCGTTCTGCTCCGCTGGGTCCTTGCTGCTCTCCCACTTGTAGAAGGCATCCTCCGAAATGACCTCCTCGTCGTACAGGCAATCGAAAAACATCCGCAACAAATCTGCAGGCGCGGAGAAACGGGGGAGAGCGGCCGTGAGCGCGGCACAGGGGACGGAGAGGGATGAACTCCCGGCCCGGGAGATGGGGAGGCAAGGGAAAGGAAGGGCTGTTACTCAGGAATTGCCTCCTGGCTGCTCAGGGGAGGGGGAAACAGCCCTCAGAGAACAGGGGAAGCTGAGAAAGCAGCTGTGGGAACACGTTATCCAGAGACTGGCCTGCCAGCAGCAGCCACAGCAGCACATCTCCTCTGGACCACACAGCCTGGCTCCCCCCCAACCCGGGATTTTTGTGGCTCAGCAGGAGGGATAACACCCAACTAACGCCATAAAGGGCACAAAGGATGATCCTGCTGGGTGTTTTGGGGCACTCTGATTTTGTGCTGCACGTTCCCTGGGAATCCCTGTTTCTTTGGCACATCCCTCGCCTCTTGTCCCACAGGAGTTTTCTGCAGCATCTCTGGGACAAGACTCATCAGTTGTCCAACTGATTTTATTCCCTCCAAGGCCACAGACATCTGTGGAGCAGCAATGCAATCACAACGTTCAGGTGCTGTGAACTCCTCTGGTTACTTTCTATTGCTCTTTTTTACCTCCCCATGGGTTTGTCCTTCCTTCTGCACAGCTGCTTACAGGAGATACCAAGAGAAGAGCTGGCCTCCAGCCAAGCATTTGGGAACCTGCACTGCTCTAAAAGCTGGAATCTGCACAACCTGAACCCCCCCATGCTATTTTTTCCTATCTGCTACATAAGGTAAGGAAAAGCACATCCTCTTCCAGCCTCTGCTCCCACAGAAACCCCCTTTCCTTATGCTGCCAGAGCTCAAATCCTCAGCACAGAGGCAACACTTACTAGGAGGTTGATCAAGTTTTACTATTGATGCTTGTAGTGCATAAAGTGCTTGTAGTTCCTTCTCTGTGTCTGAGTCCAGGTACTTGAGTAAGATGGGCACTCTCTGCTTGATAACAGCAGTGTCCACACGGAAGCTGGAAGAGTCCGCTGGGGGAGGAGAGGAAAGCAGGGTCAGCCTTGGAGGGACAGCAGGGACAGGTCTTCCCTGGCCTTTATTCATTCAAACAGCAATCACAAACACAGGTGGAGAGAAAAGGAGGATGAGAAACAACAGGAAGTATTTCTGATCAATGGCTTTTTCTGGAAGTCTTGGTCCTTCCAGCCCCCCAAATTCCAGTATCTGCAGGGACCCCGGCCCTAAACACACACACAGGAATCACAACCTTACTCTGCAAGTGCCAATTGTTGTGTTTCCACAGGCAACTGGGTTTAGAAGTTTAGAAGGTTTTTAGAAAATTCTATTTTTTTTTCTAAAAATACCAAGGCAGAAAAAGAATCATAAGCTGCACAGGACAAAGGAATCAGGAATATACACAAAATATGCGTTAGAAATCCATCAGCAACATGGGTAAATTACTCAGCAGCTCGATAATCTTGTGGGTCCCTTCCAACTTGGAATACTCTGTGGTTCTGAAGAAGATCATGCAACACAATGAAGTGATATTTTGAAAACAAAAGAACAAAAACTCAGTTAGGGGTAAGGCCAAAATTTAAACCAGAGGATGATGTTCCTGACACACATCAGGGAACTCTTAACCACTGGCAATGAAATCCCTGTCCCTGCTAACACTAGGTGGCACGAGCAGGTTCTGTTCTCAGGCGGAGGAAGGAGCTGGGCTGTCCCTCCCCTCCCTCACACGGTGCAGTCCAGCCCATTCTCTCCCCAAACTCTGCCAGCTCAGAGCAGAACCAGGCGCTTTCCAAGCACCATTTTTTGCTTTGCCAGGTGCCAACAGTAAAGTTAAAGAAAACCAAGTGAACTGAGCAGATGTTTCTGCCTGCAGCACTTTACTCAAACCCCCCGAGGGTCTGAGGTTCCAACCTCCCTTTCCTGCATTTCCAGCCGACTGCAGTACATTTAAGAATCCACATAAACCCCCTTTCCAAACCTGAAACTTTGGACATCAAACTCTTACAAGACCGAGCTGCAGGTTGGCTCCTTCCTGCAGCCCACGCTGCCCTGGCACGTGGCAGCTGCAGGGGGGGAACACCCAGTGTAAGTGCTGACACAGGAGTGGAAATGCTAATTACCTTAATAATGGCTCAGTCATTTCCACCTTCACTAGGAAAATCAATGAACAACCTGGAATTACCCAGAGTTGTCTGAAACACCTGCTCACACAAGGTCACCTGGACACACCAGGGCTTGGGAACACCTTAACTGGCAACATGCCCTGGGGAAGGGACACCCTGCTCTGAGCAGAATCCTTAGTGTGTGATAAAACACAGCCCTGGGGAGGGAAATGTGATATAAACCTGAAAAATACCAAGTGATTCTTATTACACTGCAAATAACTCACCTATAATAGCTGCTTTACAAACTGCTGTCATTAAAGCTCTAAGGAATGTAGGTGAACTCATCTGGCTTTCATCTAGATTAGCCTGAAATCAAGAGTAGATGGATTAGCCCAAAATCAAGAGCAAATGGACCAGTTAAAAACACGCTGCTGCAGCAGAGCCACCTCTTCCAGACCCTGCTGCTGAATCTGGCAGCAAGTCCAAGCTGAGCAGCAGCTGCTGCAGCACAAACCCAGTTCATCCCTGCAAACATTCAGCTTTCCCACTCACTCCTTGAAACTCCCTCAGGGACAACAGGCCCCAGCAGTTCTCCTGGGATCAGTGCACCGTTTAACACCTCCCCCAAGGAGCCAAACGGGCAGTCTGGGCTCACAGCACCTTACACACTTCCAAAGGGGCTTGGGCCTTTCCAACAAACTTCACGGCCTGTTCCTTGGGTGGAGATCTGTTTGCTTTGTAGCAGAAACTCAGAGAATGGCTGTGGAACTTGTCCAAGGCTCCAAAGAGCCTGTGGGTGATCCCAGATTTTCAGTGCTGCTTTCGTTCCACTCTCGACTCCTCGAACAGCAGTGGAAAAATGACATTTCTAACACACTGCTCTGCCAGAGAAACACTGAACTGCAGCTGACCAAGATGTAGGGGAAGCACAGATCTAAATGCATCAGGCTAGGTCTAATTACAAACACTAAATATCTGGCTTAAAGGATGCAGCCAGAGACAGAGGGCAAAGATCAGTGGGTTGACAGGCCCTTTTCCTCCCCTCTTTTTATATTTTTCTTTGTTTTCTCTTCCAGTGCCTGGCCTGATGCACTAGGAAAGGTACAGGTGCTCTCAGTGACTGCCCAGGATGTTTTTGCAGGGGGAAATTTGAAGAGGTCACGTTGGAAAAAAACAAGGAGAAGCTTTTCTCCCCTGTTTTGGGAAGAAAGAATGTAGCAGGGTATGGTCTAAAATGTACCAATGGCAGAAGCAGGGTACTCAGTGATAAAAAGTCTACAGTATTTAAAAGGCAGTCAGACAGTTAATATGGCCAAAATTCTTCCCTCCTAAAGCTGACTCATAAATAGCTGATTATATTTTAGATTTTCATTCTTTGGAAGTGTTCATTGCACGGACCAAATCATCTCAGTGTCCTCCACCCCAAGGGGAGCCCACAGAAATGCTCCTTCAGACCAGAAAATAACTATAAAAGCAGTTAATGAATACTGTGCAGGGAGGGTGAAAATCGTCTTTGTACCTCTACCCAGTCAAAGATTTGTTCATCATTCGCCTTGTCCTCAACAATGAGTTTTTCCAGCTGCTTGTTCAGCTCTTCTGCAGAGAGTTCTTTCTCTGAAAGTGCTTCTGAGGAACTGGAACAGTCGGACTCTGTGAACTCCAACTTCTGCAACACGACAAGTGAGGATGAGAATCAGGGAAATGTCCTTTCCTAAGGCAGAATTACACAGACTGAGCAGCAAACTACACTTCATTCTGCTTCTTGGCATCTCCCAGCTGCTCAGTTATCGTTACAAGGATATAAACTTTCTCTGTTCCAAGGGTTAGGAAGCATTTTACAAACACGTGGGGGCTACATTATCCAGCAAAGACAACCAGGCACCTCAGTCAGCTCCAGCCCCTCACTGCTGGAGCACACACACAAAATCCAAGTGCATGTGGAGCTGGAATGCAACGACCAGAGCTGGCACTGGCTCAAAGAACACCCCAGTTCCCTGCAAACTGGGACAGAGGAGCCACATTCCCCTCAGCAGGGCCCAGGGGTTCACCAGGCCATGGTGATCCATTCCCCTTCCTGCAGCACAGCACTTCCTAAGGCTAAAACAGGGCAGTGGATCACTCAGAGCTCCAAAGGGAGACAAGACCTCTGGCACGTTCCTGAGGAGCAGCACCAATAAGAGCTGAGGTGCCTCCATCAGTCCTGGCTCCCCCAGGTTCATAATCTGAGGTGGGATGAGTGAATTAACTGCTATCATTTATTGTGGTCCTCCTGCAGATTTTCTGTCCTTGCTGCAAAACTCACTCCTGAGGGTTTTTTTCCCAGCTGGAGAAGGATCTCCCAGAGGAAGCTGGGTGATGGGAGATGTGTGCCTGGAGCAGAGGGGACAGGCCCAACCTCCCTGTGCTCCAGAAGGAGGTGCTGAAGTCATCTACCCCAGCCTGAGGACACTTCACCCCATGTCCCAGCTACACACAAAAATGGGATGGGAGAGGAAGAAACACGGGACCAAACCCGAGATCTGAACTCACTTGTTCCATGAGAAAGGTATGTACATCCTCCCCTTCGGGCAAGTAGTCCTTCCAACTGAGGCCAGACTCTCTCCATAAGGCTCCCACTTTCTTATGGCTCTGAAACACAAACAGTTTGTTCATTTTACACACCCGAGGGACTCCCGGAGCTCACATGGGCCGGAGTGGTGCAGCTGTGCCAGGAGAAATCCCGGAGCGTCCGGAGAGCCCGTGCAGGAGGGATCACATGTGCAATCCCCCCGGGAATGCACATCTTGGCAGGTGGGCAAACGCCTCGTGACGGGGAGTAAACAAGGCAGAAGTGACACGGGGGGTTCACGACGACTCCCGAGGCTCCCCAGGAGCACCAGGAAGGGCAGGTCCCCACGGCCCTGACACGGAGCTGGCACTTGGATGGCTTGGATCCTCCTCCTGACTTACCCTGTGACTCACCCCCCCTGCCTTGACATTAAGGCACCAGTAAATCAGCTCCTTTGAGAAAATTCCTGAATTTACACGGCTGTTTCCCAAGCCTCAAATTCAGGTACAAAAATCCCAAATTCTCTCTTTGATTCCTAGAATTTATGCAAACTTTGAGAAATGCCCTGGAGCACAGACAGCTCAGCCTTGCACAGCCCCTGGTGTCACACTGACCCCACAGTCCCTGCCTTGGAGGGCACACACAGAATTCTGACAGGAATGAAAATGCTGAGAACAACCAGCTCTTTCCACCCAAATGCTTTGCCAAAATTTGACCTTCCAGCACCTGCACACAGGAGATCACTGTGTAGCCTGAGCCATGCACTGATGAGCTCAGCCTGATTTTTAGTTTACAAAGTAGATTACAATTTTCAGTTCCCAGTGCAGGTTGTTAAGGGCCAACTGTGCATAGTTCCTGCTCTGATCCATCAGGATCTGGTTTAGATGACTGATATTACACTGAAATCCCCGAGTCCAAGTCTTGGCCTGGGCGAGGTCAGATGAGAAACTGTGGTAGAAACAGAAACCCAAGGCTGTGCTTCCACCCCTGGAGCACAGCAGCTTTTCTTTCACAGAATAAGAAAAAAATAAGTGGAAGTTGATTTCCAAACAAGACTAAAATAGATAAATAAAAAGTCACTCTTTGCACTGTTAGACTGAAATGCTCCTGGAACATTCAACCTTACTTGAATGCATGCTTGAAAAAATAAAAAAAGGCAAGTGAGGGATTTTACAGGGTTGAAAATAGACACGCTCCAAAGTGCAGGATTTTGTTGGATTAAAAAAAAAACACCAAAAGACAAAAAAGGAGACAAGAGTTATAGGGAAACCACCAAACTGGTTGGACACACAACTGTGAGGTGTGTGTGAGCTCTTGGAGCCGCAGGGTGAGGAGGTGGCACTACCCCTAGTGATGGGTGAACCTCAGGAGTCGGCAGGTTTAGTTTGGATAAGCACCCAGAGTCTGAGGCCATCGGAAGCTTATCCGAGCCCTGAGAACCTCTCGGTCTGCAAGAACAGCTCTCTCGCCAGATTCCCGGCACTTGCTGCTCCTGGTCAGCCCAGAAATCCCTTGAGCATGTCCCTCTTGCAGCATTTCAGGCACTCTGAGCTTCTGGGAGAAGCCAGGTGCAAAGGTACCTGCAAAAGGGAAAAGTCGGGAGAAAACAAAGCGTTAACTCGACTTTTTGGAACCTGGAAAGGCTCGGTTGGGATCTGGGGGGGCAGAGGCAGGTTTGCTAAGTTATCTGGACTGGCTGGCCCATCCCTGAACGTCTCCACGTGGGAACTGTGTAGGATTCATGCACGGACATGAACAGGCTGCATCCAGCTCCCACCAGGGGCTCCTGGACACTCACCATTTGTTTGCATAGAAGGTGCAAGATTTCAGCAAGCAAGACGCCGGCTCTTCCCACAGGAAGCAAGGGTTTGCTAAATTCTCTGCAATGAAAGAAAATCAAGTATTTATTCTTTGTAATTCGTATTTTGGATCCAAGGCAAAGAGTAGTGATCAAACTGAGGCAGGAAATCACCTCTACCTTCTGCCAGGGAGGAAAGTTCTGATCAGAGCAGCTGGTAAAACACTCAGTGATGCAGTGACCTTGTCACAACAGGGCTAATTACAAAGCCTTTAATTTCACATAAAAAAGACTTATAAATTATATTTAATGCCAAATCCACTCATTTTTGTGGGATTCTGCATTTGGATAGTGAGACCTTTTTTAGGGAAAAGGCTGTTATTTTCTTAATATGCTGGTTACAGGGAAAGGGAACCATTCAGCTGGCTTCTGCTTATCCCCAAATACATAAGGACATGTACAAAACACAGGAACTTTGGTCCTGGAAATTGTTTCCAATCTTACAGGCAGGTTTTTTGCCAGATTAAGAGAGTTAGTAGTAAGAATCACAGAATGCCATGAATGGTTTGGGAGGGACCTTAAACCCATCTCATCCCACCCCCTGCCATGGACAGGGACACTTTCCACCAGCCCAGGTTGCTCCAAGCCACAGCTTCTCTGGGCAACCTGTGCCAGGGCCTCCCCACCCTCACAGGGAAGAATTCCTTCCAATATCCCATTTATCCCTGCCCTCCTTCAGTTCCTCCCCTGAGCCACACAGACTCCTGTGTGATGCTTTGCTCTCTTCAAGTCTAATTCCCAGAACTCCTGTGCTCCCAAATGACTCCACTGTACAACACTTGGGTACTTTTAAGCTCAGCTGAAGCAAACAGGGTTGAAGTAGATTTATGGATAAAACCCTTCTCCAAGAGTGAAAGCACCACAGTCCCTTCCCAGCACAGCTCTCAGTCCAGTGTCGATCCCGACTGATGTTCAACAAGCTTTTCATCAACTCCCATGGGAAGCTGAGCCTCTGGCACTGCTCATCCTTTACCTACTGCCATGAAAATACTACAGAATAACTGGAAAAGCTTCACTTACTGTATAAGTTCTCTCATAGAGATTCCTCCTTCTTTTAACATGGGGGTCACTAACTCAGCCAGGTACAACCAGATATGGGGTATATCTATGGCCATGTCGTCTGCCATCTCCAAGGTCTCTGAAAAGCTTTGAAAGGAGAAGGAAAAATATCAAATGATAAATAATATTTAACTGGAAACTTTTCCTGCAAAGCAAATCTGCACTTTAAGAACCTTTTGTTACAGTAGAGAGGAGTAAAGAGAGAGAGGAGTGAGGAGAATCAAAAAGTAATAAAACTATTGCCACTTTATGCTTTCCGTGCTTCCAAACTGCCAGGAGTGAATTTCTCCATGCAGTAACACAGAGAATATGTGGAAAAAGCATCACCTTTTGTACAACCAGCAGATATAGCCAAGAAAGCAAGAAACAATAATTCTTACATCCCAGTACCACATCGTTTGCTGACTCGTAACACCTATAAAGCATTTTTGCCTATAAATATGAACCATCAGGTAAATGCAACTTTCTTAAAAATATCCAAACGTTTAGAGAAGGGGGTTAATCATAATGGAATTCCAAATGTGAGGGAAGCAGTGGAATGTCTGTGAGTACATCACACAGCACAGAGGAGTTCAGCTCAGCCGAGGGGGTTTCCATCTGCAGCAGGAATTACAGAACTGCTCCCCAATGACACAGTTTCCAGAATGGCTCAAAACTCTTCTTTCCCACAAAACCCTTGCAGGAGCCTGGTACAAGATCATCCTTTTTCTGCTCTCCTTCCAGTTGTTGTCATGGCTCTTTTCTCCTCGAAAACCTTGAAAATTCTGGGGTCTAGTTTAGTGACTGTAAATGAACATTTTCCCTTGTGTTTCAAACTCAGAAACCACCTCCTTTGCTTTGTTCTTTGCATCCTCTGCTGCTCCTTCAGCCCAGGTCTGTCCAAACCTTTCTGCCAGAAACTGGTTTCCTGTTGTGCATCTCCCCAGAGGTGGTTGGGACCAGGTCTCATCCCACACCCCTCATTCCGTGGTAATTTCTCCTGCATAAGTGAAGTGGGTTTTGGTGTTCTCCTCATGCACCCATTGAGACCCACTTGGCCTTTCATCATCTTCAGGAGCCATTTCCTGTTGTTCTTGCCACATTCAGACCCCACATCCCACTGTTTTATCATGATCCTACTTATTTGCCATCCCAACCACTTATCCACACTCCAGGGAGCACCGAAACAGCTTCAATCACAATCCATTATGGAAATTCATCCCTTCAATCAAGCCCTTCTGACCACCAGTGCTGTGTGGACACGAGTGTACTCCCTGTGGAGATACACTTCTCCTGCTGGTCCATATGGTTTGGAGCTCAGGCTGCCTGAACTTTTCCTGTGAGTCTGGTGAAATCCAGGGACAGCCACAGGCACAGGGAGATCCCCGTCGGAGCGATACCACGATGGCACAGGGTTCAAAGAGAAGCAGCAGCCACCAGAGCCAACTCCTCAGAAACTCGGTGCCTGAAGTGTTATTTCTTCTGCTTGTTCACTGGCTGTGCTTGTGGTTATCCCTGTTTTACCCACCCTGCTCTACGAGCGGTGCCAGGGACCTCCCTGGGAACATGGATCCTTTTAGGATGGGGCACCAGGCTGGGAACACAAAACCCAGAGAGCTGAAATGAGCCAGCAGCCAAAACTGGGTCTCCTGGGGCAGGTTTAACCCATCTGGTGCACGTTCTCCTCCTCAGCCCCTTGAGGGCTCGTCCACTCCAAGGTGAGGTGTCCTGAGAAACAGCATCACGTGGGTAAAGCCTTTTTCCCAGTGGGAGAGCAGCTGTAGCTCTGTGGATGAACAGGACTTCAGGCTGAAGAGCCTCCAGGTATTAATGTCACATGAAGGTTTCCGAATTCTTCCTCTTTCAGTCATATCCAGTGATTTGCCAAAACAAACATGGACAAATGTGTGACAGAACAGAGATCTAAACACACAGAATTAAAGAGACACCTCCAGATCTGCTTAGAAATAAATACTGATATAAATATGAATGCATTTACATTCACTGAAACCATCTGAAATACTTAAAATAGATTACAATAATTGTATTATAAATAGACCAAGGTGAAAATACTCCTTCAAAAGGAATGTGTGGAGAGGGCAGGACACCAAAGCAAGGTGGGCAATCCTTCCTCTCCAGCACAGCACAGCACAGCAGGGAACACTGAGGAAAAGAGCCCGTCCCACGGATGCAGAATACCAACCCCTTGAAGAAATCCTGCTTGCTCAGCTTTCCCGACTGCACCAACTGATGCAACAACTGGCCCATGTGATCCCTGGTGATCTGACTCCGCTCCAGCGTCGACTCCACTCCCACGCGCACGAACACGGGCAGCAGGCTCTGGGTGCTGAGCTCCTCCACGCACTGCATCGCTTCCTGCGGGACAACACGGCGCCTGAGCTGGCCACACCAGCAACGGGCACAGCAGCACGTGCTGCTGGAACAGGGGGAACTGGGGGGAAATGAGCTTCTAGTGAGGCTGCCAGGCCAATGCTGAACCAGGAACCTCATCACGAATCGCCACCGAGGTGGCAACTGAGTAATAACAACAACAACAGTAATATTAATAATGGAATAAGAGAAGAATAATGGAATAATAGAATAATAATGGAATTTATACCACCCAGGCAACAATTTTTAAAGCACACAACCGCATTCCAGGGCACAGTTTGGCTGCTCAGTGAAAGGAGAGAATTGTCTTCTGGATGCCCTCAAAACACCTCTCATTGCATTAAACATCAAGCCAAGTCAAAAAGAGGGTACCAGGTTAGATCTGTCACTGATCTGACCTGGCACAAATGCCAGTGTTACAAACCCACATCACATCAAGAGGCAGAAAACAGCTGAGGAGTGTTTGGAGGCAAATCTCACCTTTCTAAAGCTCCTCCTTTCTGGGCTGAGCACTTTGTATCCCAAGCAAAGAAAACACTTCAGTAGAGACTCTCAGAGCAGCACTCAGTGCCACACATCAAAAATCCCCACTGCCATCACCAGGACCTTCTGGGTCCAGCCCACAGAGCTCAGGGGCTTCCTGAGCACAGATCCCTGCTGTGACCAGGCTGTGCCTCGAGGGATCCACACCTGACACCCCACATGCATTTCCACAGGTTCTGAGTGGCTTCTTCACACAGGTCAGAAGCCTGGTGGTCCCAGCCAGTGCCCAATGGATCCCAGTGTCCCAGGACACACAGGGAATGCTGCTGGCTGACCCTGCTGTCACCACACACTGGTGCACAGCTCCAGCTCAGCAGTTTGAATCCACAGGCAGGTCACCCTCAGAAGCCCAGACTCCTGTGAAAGGCAGGAGTGACACAATGTTCACATCACCTGCACCCCGGTGACTCCCTCAGGGGCAGCTGCAGGAACAGGAGTTTAAACTGAGTTTAAGCTTCGCTGCACCTGAAGAGTACCAAGAATTCCCCACTATCCAGTAACCCCTGGTGCAAACAAACAGCCTGATCCCATGGATTTTAACCAGCCCTGCCCTGTCTAGTGGAATTCAGCTCCATTTCCACCCTGCCACAGAAATTCATCCCTGTATTTGCGAACAGAGAACCAAAGAAGCTCCTTCACCCCAAACATCCAGAGGGAACCTTTGGAGTCCATCCTAAGAAGGAAAAGGAGTGGAGGCTCCTTGGCTCGGCAGCCCCCTGCCCCAGGCCAGCCCTCTGCAGCACACTGCCAATCAAAGCAGGGTTCTTCCTCTCCAAACCAGTATTTAATAATTTATCCTAATAACTAGATGTGAACTCAAAACGCTCCATCACGAGAATATTCCTCTTTCCGATTATTAATTGGAAGCCTTATGAAATGGAAGCAGCAACTCTGCTTTTAGGGTGCCAAACCAGCAACTCCCAAGTGCTGCCATTTCAAACTTGGCAGGTTTTAAAATTTCTTTCAGTGAAAGATCAAACGAAGCAGCTTTGCAGCCAATGTAACACTTCTTGCAAACTCCCTGGGCGAGCTAAAAAACCCTTTTACAAGGGAAACAAAATTTCAACCTTTTAACTAGGAAGTGATGACAGCTGCTCAGTAATTTCCAATGTTTATTAAAAATCCTCTGGAGTGGTTTGTTCAATATTTAGTATTGCTTTATCTGCCTCCAGATCAGAACAGCACATGCTTTGATAACTAAATGAAAACCTCTGTTTATTTTCTCACTAGTTTTTCTGCTTCCAAAATTGCTGTTATTATGGAGCTGCTCAGTGATTCATGACAGATCACATACATCTTGCTACTTAAAACACACAGCCTGGGCTATTTTTCCTATTACCAGCAGGGCAGAAAATGAGTTTGGGAGACAAGTGTCCTAAAAATGTTCACAGAGCTGCTGCTGCTACCCAGATTTTGTCTGTTCCCACCAGTTCTGCTGCCTCTGTGTGGGCTGGGTGCTCACACAGTTCCTGCACAGAAAGCACTCCAGCCCTGCAGAGCTTTCTGCTAAGTGAGGCTTTCATCTTGCTTACCTTAAAATCATTAATATGCAAGAACTCATCAATGATAGATTTGCATTTTCTCTCTATTTCCTCTTCTGACAATGAAGGCTTTTCTTGCACTGGAGCTGGAGGAGCTTCTGGTTTGGCTGGTGGAAACACAACAAAAAAAAAACGTGTTTGGGAAAGGAAAACCAGCATCATTTTAGAGATGACATTCTGAAAACAGAAGCCACTGGAGCAGGTGTGTTCCCTGTCCCATCCTCAGGCACGGGGCACTTCTTGGATGGGGCTTGGAGCAACCTGGGCTAGTGGAAGGTGTCCCTGCCCATGGCAGGGTGTGGAATGAGATGGGCTTTAAGGTCCCTTTGAACCCAAACCATTCTGGGATTCTTTCCCAGCTCCATCCCCCCCATGAACTCCCAGTATTCCTGTAACTCGGTCTTGCAGGAGCACAGCTGGCAATGGCACAGGTGGAGCACCTTCAAAGCTCTCCATCAACACCAAATAATTAACTGGGAGCTGGTGCAGGACATGGCAAAGTTAAAACACTGACTGCAATGGGCAGCAGCCCAAGGCAATGTCCTGATCACAGCCCAAACCCTGGTCCCATGGAGTCCTCTACAACATCCCAAAGCTCCCCACGGAGCGTGTGCCGCCCGTGGCAGTGGAGATGTTTCCCAGGGAAGGAGCGGAACACTGGACTTATCATAAAGGTTCTGTCCACAGGGAACATCACCCTAAGTGTCCTCAGCGTTTTCTCACTAACAAATCAGCTCCAGCTGGCAGGAGGGAAAAGCAGGAGCTGCAGCACCGACAAGGTGACAGACGAGTCACCCCAGTGGGTGCCACCCCCCTGCTGCACCAAGGTTGGCTTGGAAGGAGGGCTGGCAACAACACAGCACCAAAAAGCTGCTGTGAACCCCCTGTCCCAGATCCAAATCCCTGCCCTGCCCCTGGGGAATGTTTGGAAAGGGCAGATAAGGCTTTACTGGGCACTGAAGAAGCATTTCTGAAGAACTGACACTGATTTAAGCCCATAAACCAGTGGGACAGTGACAGGATGGGGGGGGTGCTGTGCCAGTTCCTGCAGCCTTTCAGGTCCACGGATCCTACGGAGGAGCTGGTGAGAGGGATGAGGCCCAGGCCTGCCTGATCAGCTGTGCCCCCCGCCTGACAACACTTCCCACCCCTGCACAGAAACCTGTCACTGCTCCTGGCAGGTTTTCCCACCTCCAGACCCCCTGGGCGTGGAGGAGCCGCTCACCGGGTTCCTTGGCTTTGCTCCTCTCCGCCTCGGTGCTGTTCCTGTCCATCTCCATCCCGCCCGTCAGCTGCTTCACCGTCTCCAGCATCTCCCTGCGCTGCTCCTCCTGCGCCTGATTGTCCAGGAGCAGCTCTTTGCTGCTGCTGCCCCGCAGGAACGTGTTGGGGCGGGACAGGGAGGGGGGCAGAGGTTTGTCGTTCTTCTCCCTGCCCGTGCTCCCGCGACTGCGGGACAGAAACACACTCAGGGTGTGGCTCAAGCAACCCCTGCTAGGAAAGGCACTCCATGGCTTTAGAGTAACCGCAGGGAAAAACAACTCCACGACCCAAACCTCACTCCATTTTTACAGTTGTAGCTACCCAGAATGTAATGACAATTAACTCAGTCTCACAGACACACAAACACAAACATGCAGAGTGGACAGGCAGAGCCAACGCTTCCTAGAGAACACATGGAAAAGCAATGATGCCCCTACAGCACCTGTTTGACACATGAAACAGTGGAGTTGATGAGTAAAGGCTCTGTTCTACTGTGAAATGGGATGAGATATTTAGATTGGATATTGGGAAGGAATTCCTGGCTGTGAGGGTGGGGAGGCCCTGGCACAGGGTACCCAGAGAAGCTGTGGCTGGCCCCGCCCTGGAAGTGTCCAAGGCCAGGTTGGGCAGGGCTTGGAGCAACCTGGGCTGGTGGAAGGTGTCCCTGCCCATGGCAGGGGTGGAACAGGATGGTCTTTAAGGTCCCTCCCACACAAACCATTCTGTGATTCCATGAGACTTCTATTTTTTAGCCATTTACTTAAAAATACCTTCCAAACAGTGAAGGTTCCCAGCAACAGGTGACAGGGACCTGCCCTATTAATTATTGTGTTAATGAATAAGATGGGCAAACCAATTCCAAAATAGAACAATTTCCAGTTAAGCCCAAGTTTTAGGTGAAATAGGAGGGAAAAGATTAGAGGCACAACCCAGGAAAACACTACAGCAGCTCATGTGTACTGGAAGGAAGAACCAGTGGCATTTTAAATGAACTGTACATTTATAAACCATGTCTAGAGCTAATAAATTATTGAGGGTTAATACATGTTTCATGCTACAAGCTGGAGTGGCTGCAGCCCTGATGGAATCAGGGTGTGAGAGAGGCTGTGCAGCCTTTTGTGGGATGTGGGAGCACGGCCAGGTCAGTCACACCTGACGGGAAGGGTCACACACGGTGCTTTAAGCACGTTTCTGCAAGGTTTTAGGTCTGTTTTTCTGTATAAATAAACCTGCTGACCTGGCTGAATTCACAGCCATTAAATCCAACCTATTTACTACCACATTTTATCTGAAGAGCTTTTAATCTGTTATAAACAACCACCCTTAGCTGAAGGGTGAAGTGGAAACTAAAACATTCATCGAAACGGCTTTAAAAATTAATTCCACCCGTCTCTCCCACGATATTTTAAAATACACACGTGTTTAAAGTTAACTCAGAGGGGAAAACAGACACAGCCATTCCTGGAAAGGCAAGGAATTCTTCCTGAGTGCTGGCAGGCAGAGCAGCAGGTGTGAAGTGCAGATGCAGAGGCAGCCAAGAGCAGCACTCACCTCGTTAAGGCCCTGCGGGATTCGAGTTCGGAAGATGCGGATGAGGCAGAAACGGGGGAGACTGGAGGCTGCAGGGCAGAAAACCTGTTCAGACTTGTGGCACTTGGTCGCAAGGAGTCTGGGGATTGCAAAGAACAGAGCAGAGCGACGAGGTCAGGAGTGGTGGCACCTCGGCATCACGCAGTGACACAGCAGCTGGGGCTGGAGGGATGGGGAGAGAACTGCAGGGAAAAGGCTGGTCCTGCCCTGCTTTAGCCTGACTGTCAGGAGGGCACCCAGGGAGGGGAGGAGACTCTTGGGGGTCTGCAGCTTCCTCCCGAGGGGCAGCTCTGACCTCTGCTCTCTGTGCCCAGTGACAGGACCCAGGGAATGGCTGGAGCTGTGTCAGGGAGGGTTAGTTTGGATCTCAGGAAAAGGGGTGATCACCCCTCTCCCTAGAGGGTGGTTGGCACTGACCAGGCTCCCCAGGGCAGTGGGCACAGCACCAAGGCTGCCAGAGCTCCAGGAGCATTTGGACAGTGCTCTGAGGGACATGGAGGGTCCCTGTTGGGGTGTCTGTGCAGGGCCAGAGGCTGGACTGGATGCTCCTTGTGGGTCCCTTCAGCTCAGGATATTCTGTGATTCTGTGGACACGTGGCTGGGGATGTGGGCTGGGGAGCTGTACGTGGACAGCTGATCCCTAAGTGGAACAGGATCCCCTGGACCTTCCCCACACCAGAAGGTGTCCCTGGCCATGGCAGGGCATGGAATGAGATGAGCTTTAAGGTCCCTTCCAACCCAAACCATTCTGGGATTCTGTGACTTATGGACAGAAACAGCCCTGTCTGCTACTTCAAGAGGTTTAGCTGCAACCCTGGGGTGCAGAGGAGGGCAAGCAGTGTCCTGGCCATAGGCTGGGAAATTGGAGTGTTTTGTGCAGGGCCAGGAGTTGGACTTCGATGATCCCTGTGGGTCCCTTCCAGCTCAGGCTATTCCATGGCTCTGTGGTTCTGTGAACCCCCCCAGACCTGCTCTCTGGCAGCAAAGCCCAGGGTGAGGATCCATCCCAACTTACCCATCTCGCTTGCCTTGGCTCCACCACTGCTGCCCTTCCCCCAGCTGCCCAACTGGGCTTTAGGCACAAGCTGAATCTTCTCATCTATTGTGGGCTGTAAAACACACCACGACGGTCCATGACAAGGGCAAATCGTACAGTTTCATTAAAAATGGGGTATTTTTTGGCAACAATCCCTGTTCTGTGAACACCAAAACACACTTTAACACATTTTTGGAAGACCAAACCCTGGCCAAAGACAGGACATCAACAACAAAGGGCATCACAAAGAGCCTCTTCCAAAGGTCAGTGAAAAACACTCTGACATTCAAGTGATCAGGAGCTGCTTTTTTGCTGGGAGTTCTGAAGCTCAGTGAGGTGGAAAAGCTCAGTATATCAGAAACTGGAAGACATTAAGTTTGTTTGTGATGTGCAAACCAGTTCCACTGTCCATTCAACCCTCCAGTCACAGCTTTGGGGGGGATCTGAAGGGCAACAAACAGAATCCAGAGAGCGAAGGATGACAACAGGTCGCAGAACTTGGAGGTAAGTGGTGTCTGACAAGGACAGAACATGGATTTTACAGTGCTCAGTGGGTGAATTTATTGACCAGGAGGTTGTGACCCCACAGATCTCTGGTGAGCTCCTCTCTCCTTCCAACAAAGCAGCTGCTGTGGAACCACCTCCATTTGTATGGAACGGAGGAGAAGGGCTTTTCCCAGGTGAAAAGCCCAGGCAGAACAGGCTGAATCCCTCCTGCTAATGAAGATCTGGAGTCTGTTTTATGACTTCCAGAAGGAACAAACTGATTGAATTTGCAGAAGGGCTGTAGTCTGTCCAGGTCTTGGTTTACAGCTTTGCAGGAATTCAGGCACTGAGTGTAAAATTCAGGGAGAGTGACATTAAGTGGGACAAGGGAGCGTTTAGGAGTCACCTGATTTATGTGAAGGCTGGAGTTCTCCTTGGTGAGAAAACCCAGACCTGTTCTGAAGATTAAAAAGGGAGAAATCTCCAACTTCCCTAAACCTTCAGCCTGACAAAATGTCCCAAACCCACCACTCTGATGGTGAAATAACAGGAAGATGCTCCTCTGGAAGATAGCTCTCAAAGTTTATCACATACTGGGGGATGTAACCAGGCCACAGAGGTCCATAAACACTGAAAGGAGACACAGCTCTTCCCATTCTCCCAGGTCCTTTCAATCCTGCCATCTGTGACACGTCATATTGGACGTGGCCTCCTCCTTTTATTGAGGAGCAGTGTCAGAACTTGAGGCAGCCAAGGAATTCCATCAGACAGGTGGTTGAGACCCCTCAGTAACAGCCAGGGATGTGCTGCATCCCCATCTCCCACGACACCCTGACTCACGTTCTCACGACTGAATGAAATGCAGATTTTCCAACTACAAGAACTGGGCGACCAGAAGGACACTGTGAACCTGAGGAAGAATGTCTGCACGCTCCTCTCCCTCAGAACAAACAGAACAGGAACATCCAGAAGATAACAGAGCCTTCCCTTGTGCTTTATTTATGCACAGTATTAACTCTGGGGATTCCAAACATCCCAGCCCCAAGTTCTGCCCTGTACACACTGTCCCAGTCTCTCCTGGAGGGCACATCCAGCAAGGCAAGACCTTGGCATTTTTACTGCTCTGAAGGAGCCCAGTGCTGGCACCTACCTTGGTGATTTTAAGGAACTTGGTGGGGTCCAGCACTCTGCTGTTCTTTGCCCCCTGCACAGTGTTCCAACCGCCTTCATCCACCCGTGGGACACCTGCAGGCAACAAACAACCACCCTCAGCTTGCCCCACTGCTCCAGGCTCCACGTCCATCCCCCAGTCACCTCCAGGCTCCAAGGAGAGGGACCAACCTGGCACACCTGGGCTGAGGAACGTCTTTTGCAGCCTTTCTTCACACTAAGATGACACAACCAGCCTGCCTGACTTTATTCTTACAAAACAGCCTTGACATAAAAGCTCTCAGTACTTTAAGGGCTGGTTTTGGTAGGGACTGTTCCTGGTTGGATCTCCCTGTGCTCTGGACACAGAGCTCTGGACACAGCTGTGGATGTTGTGTGTTCACAGCTCACGGGAGGAGCAGGTGAAATGCCTTCCCTGACCACACTTGTTCCACACATTTCAGCAGTGCTTGGTCTGACAAAGAACCCCTCAGGTACTCCCAGGTTCCTCACCTTCTCCTGACGCCACTTTTAGGATAATTAAAACAAAATCTACATGTATTTTCTTTATGCTCTGTTTTCACAGCACTTTCACTTGACAATCCTCAGTACTAAAGAATCCCAAAGGTGACTTTCTCCTTGCCCTGCTCTGTGTCAGGGCTCATTTTCCCAGTCACTCCAAGTTCATCTTCAGGCAGTGCCAGGCCCAAGGGCCAGGAGCAGTTTAAGGTAATGTCAAGACAGTCCTTCATGCACAGTCAGCACCTCACAAGTTTAACAGCTGAAGACAACATGGTTACTCTCCAAATTAAGTGCTATTCCCCTGAAATGAGACTGTGGTGCACGAGAATGGATGGCAAATCTGACTTCTATGTAATAACTTGTTTCCCAGATTCCTGGCAGCCTGTCACAAACCAAACAGGGTGTGCAAGAGTGGAAAACTTCAGCACTGTTGGCTTGTGCTTGGTTCTTTTCACACCCACGGGATTTGCCCCTGAAAAATCCCCACAGCCAATCCAAGGCAAGTCTGTTCCCTCTCCAGCCTCTGCCATAATCAGGCCTCAATTCTCTTTGCTCTCTACATTCAGGAATAAAGCAAAGCTAAGAGATTGTTCTCTTTTCTGTGGGGTTCCCTCTGTGGCCACTGGATGTGAAATGAGCAGCCAACGTGGCTTTTACTTTACCTGGTCTCCTCTTGTCTTTGGTCATGAGTTGTTGTACCTTCCTCTGTTCTTCCTGCTCTTCAATCTTGGCTTCTTTATGGATCTGCTCGATGGTCTTGGGGCCCTGGTCTGCTCTCCTGGACACCCAGTTGCACTGGGGAAGAGGCAAACACGTGCTCAAGGAAACTTCCAGGGAATTCAAATATCACAAACAAGGCCTAATCCTCCCACCCTTGTCATGTCTGAGAGGGGCTGGGGAAATTCTGTGGAGCTGGGACACGCTGGGGACATGGTTATTCCAGCACCAGAGGCCAAAGTGATGTACTCTGGTACAGAGCTTGTGCTGGAGAATGGAGGCTGCAGTGAAGACCTGACTGAATTCAAGCCATGTGAACCCCCAGCAGCTGCACATTCCCCACTCTTTCTAGGTTCAGAGGAGAGAGTAGGACTAGAGGGAGGCTGCTGTCACTCTCTGTTTATGACTGACACAGTTATTGGAGCCTTTCCTCCGAGCATGAGGGAAAAAATGAAACCCTGAAAATAAAAAAGCAAGAAGTGACTGATTTTATGTGGAGCTGGTGCTTTGCCACTCCAGGGATGGTGATGGCTGAGACAGGAATCCTGCAGAGAGAGGTGCAGCTGCCTCTGCACAGAACATTTCCCCTGCTGATGTGCCCATTCAGCCATGCACTGCCCAGACCCTTCCAGGCCTGGGATAACCAGACTGGGTTTATCCTGCTACAGCCTCAGCACAGCTCTGGGGGTAATTATGGGCCCTGTAGCCAAAGCAGTGACTGTAGCCTTTAAAAAACCCAAACCAGCTCCAAACCAGCTGTTTGGGCTCTGAGCAAGACCCTCTCAGGCCTTTGGTCAGGCTGCCTGCTGGCCAAATCTGAGCTGACACAGGATTTCTCTTCCTCTCAGGGGAAATGAATGGTGCTGGGAAGGTTTGTACCACACACGGTCACATCTTCACCCTGCACTGCACTTGTGCTGACCACAGGCACCCTCAGGGCAAAGGAGAGATTTCCTGTCCTGGAACAGTCAGATTTTTGGGAGAAGGAGCACAGATCTCCCCCTAACATCCCACTTGTGCTGTAAATCCCTGCTCTTGGATGAGAGCTCTTCCAGCCCAGACATGCAAGGGAACATGACAGGCTGGGAAAGCTGGGGAAGTTCACCTGGAGAAGAGAGGGCTCCAGGGAGAGCTGAGAGCCCCTTCCAGGGCCTAAAGGGGCTCCAGGAGAGCTGGAGAGGGACTGGGGACAAGGGATGGAGGGACAGGACACAGGGAATGGCTTCCCACTGCCAGAGGGCAGGGTTAGATGGGATACTGGGAAGGAAATGTTGGCTGGGAGGGTGGGGAGGCCCTGGCACAGGGTGCCCAGAGAAGCTGTGGCTGCCCCATCCCTGGAAGTGTCCAAGGCCAGGTTGGAGGGGGCTTGGAGCAACCTGGGACAGTGGAAGGTGTCCCTGCCCATGGCAAGAGATGGGACTGGACAGGCTTAAGGTCCCTCCAACCCAAACCATCCTGGGATTCCATGATTCAATGCAGTTGGCACCTACCAGCCTTAGGTCTATCACATCCTGGAGCATGAACCGAATCCTTGAGGAGGTTTTCCTCTCTTTCACAATCTTCTCCATCTGATTAAAATACTGGTCCATGCGGGGCTGGACAAGAAAAACATCGGCATCAGTGTGTTGTGGAGGAAAATGAAAATCCTCCTTTGGGGGGAGTCAGTGGGTCCTGCATTCCAGCACTCCTGGGGACATGGAGCTGCTCTCCAGAGAGGTGACTGCTGGCTCTTGCACACCCCTTCCAGGTGGGATGTGCAGGCAGTGAGGCCCAAGTGTGTGGGCACACACCTTCCCTGTGGTTTTAATTACCCAAACAATCAACACCCTCTGCATGTGCACAGTAAACATTACATCCATTAAAAATATATCTCAGTTCCTCCCTGTGCTCACCCCAGCCCAAGAAAAAGTGGCTCAGGGAACTAAATGGGTACAAAACTAACCCTGGTCACACCATTCCATGGTTCACTCCCCAGCTGTGTGAGCTGGGCCAGGCTGAGCAGCAGCACCACAAATCCCAGCAAGAGCAGTTTAATGGGCTGCACTGAAGGATAAAATCCCACAACCACTTTTCATCCAAAAAATCATGATGTGATGGAATCCCAATCAGTTCATACTAAGCCATGAAACTGTATCATTAGAGAAGCCTCTGTCAGGTCTAAATTTGGCTCGTCAGGCTCCAAAAAGCTTTTTTACCAAATGAGGGCTTGGGCTGTTTTAAATAAAGACTTTCAGGGCAGTTTTCTAAAGTGTTTCCCATTCCCTTCACTAAAAACCTTGCCCTTGTAGTTAAACAAACAAGAAAAACCTCATTAAAATTTGGTTCTGGCCTTGCTTTGGAAAGTTCCAGCTCTGAGAGCAAATGTTTCCAAAGCTGGGAATGATGGGGAAATATTTCCAGTGGCCTTTGTTCAGAAGTTTTAATTAAAGCAATGAATAACACTTCAGGTTCAATAAAAACACGTAATAAAATGTCTACCCCATTAACAAGGATTCTCACTCAGTCTTGATAGAAATAAGAGGTCCCAAAGACAGGACACAGCATCTAGAACAACTCCCCTGCTCCACTGTGCCACAGCTCGAGAGTCCAGGATCCGACAGAGCCCCAAAATGTTGCCTTTTACAGTACTCAAAAAGACCAGAACAGCATCCAGGCCTCATCCAGCCTGACCTCAGCTTACAAGTCAGACCCTGTTTTGTTCCCAAAGCAGATGGGAATTCAATCCCTGTTTCTGGCACTGTCACACCGGGGTCGGTAACAGTGCTGTGTTCACAGCACAGGGGGGTCAGCCTGGGACTGCTGACAAACTTCACTGTTTTGGTCAGAGCTCAAAGAACACTTTGGGGAAGTGCTTCCCCTTAAGGTTCAGGATTGACCCACCATGATCCCTGAGATCCAGCACGTGAAGAGGGAACTCCCTGCCCGGGGCAGCTGAACACAATTAGCTCCGTTTGTTTCCAGAGCTGAGTCCCACTGATTTCTGGCAAAACCCTCGAGGTTTTCATCCCAAGCCTGGTTTTTGCAAAGGAGAAGCAGATTGTGCCAAGAGGAGCTCACGGAGTGTGTAATCTTCCGTGCTCCAAACACATGTGCTGGAAAATGGGGAGGAGGACATGGGAGTGCTGCTGTTACAGAGCAGCTGCCCCAGCCCAGCCCAGCTGGAGACAAGGATGACACAAAATAAAGGCACCCTCAAGGCTCAGGTCGGGGTTTGGACCAGTTAATGAGGGTTTTTTAGATTTAAACTGGCCAACACAATTAAATGTTGGATTTTGTAGGTAACATTAACTTTCAGTGATGCAGAGACAACTCTTAAGTATTAATGTTTTGGGAACTACAAGTAAAGAGGCACATCCAATTTGGAAAATATAAGTGTTGAGCACTTCTGGACTTTGTGTTTGGATGAAATCTTTGGAAACAACAACTGGAGAGCACTGTTGGAAACGACACAGAATCTATTACAGAGCAGGGAGCGAGGCCAGGTCATGATGAAACAGCCACGGCAGAGCGGATGAATTCCTCACGCTGCCTGGAAATTCCTGAAGGAAAACCAAATCCTCAAACAAAAACACTCCACACCCATCTTTCCAGCCCTGCCCAGGGAGCCTCATCCCTTGCTCCTGCTCCTGCCCCACCTTTGCCTTCTCGAAGTCCAGGTCCTTGCCGATGGTCGTGAGCAGGCGGCAAAGGCACTCCAGGGACTCCTCGTCGTGGTTCTTGAGCAGCTTCACCACACAGTCGTGCATGATGGCCTCTGTCAGCATCTTCAGCTTGAACAGCTCCCCAATGAACTTGATATTGCCGATGGATCTCCGCCGGGCTTTGTCCTTGGCCTCTTCCAGCTCGTCGTGAAGCCGCGTCTTCTCCTCTGGCTGCAAACCAGCAGAACAGCCCTGTAAAACCACGCTCCCAGAGCACAGAACTCCACACAAGATCCAGTTTAGAGTCGCTGTTTACTCTTTTTCTCCTAAAGCCCTGAAGGATGCCGGTAAAAACCCGCTATCAAGGCAAATATTTTTTATTATCCTCAGCCACAATGACAGAAACAAACTCTCCATCCACCCTGAAATTCCCCCCAAATCGACTGCTGTCTCAAAAGGAAGTAATTTTCTGAGTGAGCTCTGAGATTTATGGGGAAAAATACCACTTACAGTGGTGGCAGCTTCGAGTTCTTTCTGCTTCTTTTCAAAGACGTCGTCGTCAGCCTTGTCCTTTTCAAATTCCTTCTGGCAGCGATTTAACAGCAACTTGCGGAAATTTACTGTGCTCCCGGGTTTGTCTGCCATGGGCACCTTCAGCTGCAGGGGAAGGAAGGAAAACATCAGCAGAAATTGGGATAAACTCCACAGAGGAGTAAAGTTCCTGTAAGCCACCCCTAACATTTTATTATGCTCTTCATCCTGAGCCCCAGCGCTCCACGAGGCTGCGGAAGCGAAGCCTCACGTCATGATTTCCAGCAGTTTTACACTGCAGATGTAAAGTCACACTCCAAACTTGGCTGACACCACCTCCGCCCGGGGATGGATTACATTTCCATCCACAGGATCCCTCAGAAACACCCACTGCTTAAAAAACACTCCTGTTATGTGCTGAAGACTCAAGCCTTCGCTGCAAGAAAAAGGGTTATTTTGTCCCAAATTCACCATCTGGGAATGGCGACAGCCTGGCCTGGCAGCTTGGGGAGAGACACTGAAGGGGGGAGGCCCTGGCACAGGTTGCCCAGAGAAGCTGTGGCTGCCCCAGCCCTGGGAGTGTCCAAGGCCAGGTTGGAGCAACCTGGGAGGGTGGAAGGTGTCCCTGCCCATGGCACGGGGTGGCACTGGATGGGCTTTAAGTTTCCTCCCAACCCAAACCATCCTGGGATTCCATGAGATGATTCTGTGAATCCCTGCAAACCAGCAGCATGAGGGGTGGGTCTAAAGGCAGACCTAGTCCTGACTACACTCAGGATTTGTGCTGCAATCTTCCCTTTGCACGTGTACCTGATAAAATTGGAATGGATTTTTCATTCTTTCCTTTTCTTGTTGGAAAAAAAAAGACTTGAAGGTTGTTTCTAGTCCTTCTTAAGTGCACAAATATTAAAACTAATTCATTCATCTCTCCTACCTTGTGCCTTATGAAATCTAACTGCTTCCAGGGTTAGATAATTGTTAAAATTAATAGTGTTAATTGGCATTTGAAGCCACATTATGCCTTCCCCACTCTCTCCTCCTGCAGCTCTTACACCCAGCTGCTCCCCCAGACTAGAAGACACCCACCAAGCTGAGCATCCTACACGAAAGCACCCTGAACCCCCAAAAGCACAGAGACAGACATAGTTGGTGTTTCCAGCCCAGATTTTCCCAGGATTAACCTAATGTGGGGTAAAAAGCACAGGTGGGACTGGATGAGCCATGATGAACCATTCCATGATTCCCTGAACCTCCCCAACGTGACTCGTCACATCTCGTGACCAGGCAGAGCCAAGAGTCCTCAGCTCCAAACACATCCCCCCTCTGCCCCAGGCACGGCCAACAACCAGAAATGCAGCATTAGTTCATCTCCTTCACACTCAGAAACTGAGTCTCTCCCCACATTCCTGTCCCTGCCCAGCAGCTCCAGGGGTTCACCATGCAGAGGCATCTCCCGCTGGACTGGGCGGCTCTTACCGTCACCAGGCACCGGCACATGTTGGCGTAGGCCACGGAGAAGCTGGGCTCGTCGATGGCCTTCTCAAAGACCAGGTCAATGACTCCTTTCAGTCTCTCCTCCGTGTCCACCGTCAGGTCTGTCACCTGCTTCATGAGCTGGTTGAACATCTGGGGCGTCAGCTTGTTCAAGATGCTTCGTACCTTGCGGAACAGCTCCTGCACGACACAAGAACTGCCAGGTCAGGCACAAAGGGGGCCAGGGGCTTCCAGGAACGAGCCAGGGTGCAGGTCCCAGGGGAATGGATGGAGGTGTCCCACAGGGATGCCCGTGAAGCTGAGTTACACACCACACACTTCTGCACAGCCCAGCCCCAGTTCTCACTCGGCTACCAAAGGCCATGGCTGTGGGGAAGGATTTTTGGAAACTCCCAAGTGCTTTTTTCAAGTGCAACAGAGGCACAAAGCCCTTCCTGTCAGAAATGCTCTTCTTGATATCAATTTAATCCATGAGATAGAAATCAACAGGGAGCAGCCTCTGACTCCTTCAACCACTTCTCCTATACTCAGGTTAAGGCATTTTGTTTTTTCCTTTCCAGGATGATAATTAGGACAATGCTACCATTAGTTCCAAGAATAGAATTCCAGTGTCCTTCCAGACCATCCCAACTTATCCTACAAATTACAAGCCTGACCACCAGACAAACACTTCTGCCCAGAGCAACTGTCCCTCAGAGGAGAGGAGGGGGAGAAGGACAGAGGGAGCTTCAGATGGTGCTTGCTGGGCTGGGCAGGACCAACTGAGGGATTTTACAGAGGAAACTCAGTCTTGGTGAAGTTCAGAGAAGAAACATGGTCTAAAAGGGGATGAAAAGTAAGTTCTGTGCTGGAAGTGTGAGGCTGTTTGCTTTAGGATGGGGACAGAAATATTCCAGTAAAACAGCAATAGAAAAGCAGTCCTGGAAGAGAGGTAGTAGGTTGTCTGGTGTTCCCAGTTTAACATACAGGACTGGCATTTAAACTCCAGGTCAAGGATAAACACAAGAAAAATACCATCAAGGGAGGGGAAAGCTGGGAATCCAGTTGGAATTCCTTGCCCTTTTGCAGTGTGTGACACAAGGCTGAAGGCAGGTTACCCCCCTCGCCCTGGGGAAGGGTGCTGTACCCTCAGATGTGCCCACCAAAGCTCTCACCTGGGTTTTGACATTTTCCGGGTCCTCGGTTTGGTTTTCCCTCTTCAGGCTCGGCTTCCAGGCGTTCTCTGCCTTCTTCAGGTGGACATCCTCCTTCACACACACAGTGATGATCTTCCTGGGCTCCCTCCTCTGGCCCGGCTGAGATCTCCTCGGTCCAACATTCAACAACTAGGACAAAAACATTCCTTGTTATATCCCCTTTTAAACTCACTCCTGGATAACACACTCTGGGCTTACGTCAACACCCTCCAACGGCACCACCGACCACCAGCACCTCCTCTGGGACTCTGAGGAGTCCCTCAAACCCAACACACTGCTCCAGGGTGGTCAGAGGGAACATGGAGACACCAAACACGCTTCTCTCGGGCAGCTTTTCCCAAAGCAGATATGGGATGACACTGCCCACCTCACTCAGCTCCGGACGCTGCTGCGGCGGGACAGGACTGAACCCAACGGGCCAACACGGCCTCTGGGAAACCAGGAACTGCAGAACTGAGACACCACAGCAAAGTGTGTGTAAGGACTAAGTCCTCACAGGTGTATTTCAAATGTGCCATCCCAGGCAATCAGACTAGGATAAATCAGCATTTCTGTATTCTCTGCCAGAAACGTTGAGTTTTACCGGCGATTGCTTCCACTGGAGCCATTCTGAGATGGGAATTACATAAAACACTCTGGAGGAAAACCAGTGCAGCTCCTGCCTTGTCTAAATATGGATCCTAACAGATGTAGGACAAACCCTGTGTGGTTTCACAGAAGGGTGGGGAGCACAGTGCTTTGAAACTGCCCCAAGTGCCTCTGCAGTCCTGTGGAAAGTGACGCTCCTCCCGGACAAACCAGGCACAACAACTGCCAAAACTGGGGAGTTTTTCACCAGTTGTACAAGTGGTGGAGCCCAAGATGCCCCCAAGCCCCCTCTTCATCATCTGAGGGTTTCTCATTAAGGACTAAAGGTACAAGGTGTTGGCAGGACAGTGTTCTCCCCCCCACATTCCTTCAGATTTCTGAGCTCATTTATCAGAGATGTCCAACCTCAAGGTACAAACTAACACAACAACAAAACTCCGTTATCAAACCCGGTACTTCCCATGGCGGTAACTCGTCTCCTCAGAGGGCAGCAGGCAGCCCCTCGTGGAAGATGGGCCATTTCAAACACTGCTCTGCTCAACAAAGGCATTCAACGAGCACCAGAGAGGCCAAAGCATCCTGGTTATTCCAAGAGCTTCACTGAAGAGGAGGAAAAGGCTCTTGGCTGGTGCCTCTTATGTCATAGATCAGCCCCAACCCTGGGTTTGTGTTATTAAAAAGCAAAATCCTCCTTCAAGGCAGGAGTGGGATGTGGGAGTTGAACCACTCGCCTTTCACAAGGTAAGTGTGTGCGAATGAACACGGTCACTGCTGGAGCTCTTGTCTGGGCTTCCTTGTGGGAGAACAGCAACAGAGGAAGATGTCAGAAGACAACACCCTCATGCCATGACATGCTCTGTATGCCAAGGCAATGCCTGGGACAGGGCTACGTGGAGCAGCGTGTCACCCTGCTGCCCCACCACCCAGGAAGAGCCCTGTTCAGATCCCCTGGCACACACACAAATAACCCAGCAGAACATTTAAGCTCCTTTGGGCACGGTCATAGTTCACAGCATCATTAAGGTTGGAAAAGACCTCCAAGGTCATCAAATCCAACCCTCAACTGCTTGGAAGGCAACCACACCAGTTGATTGCTCCTGAGAAATCAACAGCAGAACAAGACAGGGAGAACAGGGAGCCTTCCCCAGCTTCTGTATGTGGGGCATGTTCCTGAAGCAGCCCCCGATCCCTCCCCACGGCCCCTGTCGGCTCCCGCCCCGAGCCCTTGGTCGGCACTGGTAGGGCGCAGCAAACCTGAGCACAGCCCCACCTTCCCAACCCCCCTCTGCTGCTGCACCTGTTTGCACAGTTCTGCTGCCCAGGTTCTGACCACGCCACAGACGTGGAGAGAAGAAACTTCCCTCCAGCTGAAAAACCAGACGGTAACACAACAGCAGCTCATCACACACCTCCTGCCAGGCAGGCAGCCCGGAAACCAGAGCCAGGCTGGGAGGGTGCCCTGCAAATCCAAACCTTTGGGCTTACTGCCCCCAGGGACAGGGGTAAAGCCAAGGAGAGGTGACCTGCAGCCACCCCATGTCTGGCACAGAGGCAGCTCTGGGCTGAAGGACCTCCCAGGCGTGTCGGGGTGTAACGCGCGGGGACGGAGCTGCAGAGGCCGGAGCTTCCTCGGGGAAGGGTCCATGCAAATGTTCCCCTTCAGAGCAAACGGCCCTCCCTGAAGGAGGTGAGTGTGGGAAAACTGAGGGATGCATGGAGCACCTGTGCACCTCCTGAGTACCAGCCTGCCACGTGTCACAACCTCCTCACATCCAACTGCCTTCAAGATCAGACCTTTCAGTGCATCAACAGAACCAGGACTTTCCTTGAGGTTCTATGTTTTCAATACCTGTGAATAAACTCGGTTCAAACTGTTCAATTAGGTTTTGAATCGGTGAACAGCAGCTTCCTTTGAATGTGTAATAAAATGGATCAAACTTTTAAGAGAAAAAATCTGGGGTTTTGGTTCCAGATTTACATGGCAGCAAGTTCAAGAGGTGCCTGGGCTCAGGCCTGGCCTTCTGTACCCCAGGCCATGTAAATAAAGATGGTTCTGGGGCACTTGCACTGGGATAACCTTTCCCACCAACGGCACGGAGCAGTTACCAAGTGTTCCTGCATTAAATTCCATTACTTGTCTTTGGATGAAGAGAGGGGAAAGGAAAGCAGAAAGAAAAGGGACAAGACTCCTGCAGAGGAGCCAAAGACTCAGAGCAGCACAGCCCGACCTGGAGCTCCCACTCAGGCCACAAGTCATGGAAATGCTTTAAAACATCCAAGGAATTAAAGAATCACTTCTCCCTCCACAAGAAGCTTTGAGGGAGAAGATAAAATTGAGCTTCAATGCTGGGAGAGGTTCTGCCTTCCAAGAAGCACAAGAATTGAGGTGACTCGAGTTTCCATCACCTCTCAGGAAGGACAAAGCAGACTCATCCTGCCACAGGCACGAGGACTGACCTGTCCTCTCCTCTCCAATTTATCTGTTTGCACCTCCTCACCCAACGTCTTGCCTACACCAAAAAGCCCTTCCAGCTGGATTCTGCTTCTGTGCAATTACACCCCCTGTGCCACCTGATGCGACATTTGTTAGTGCCAAAAACACTCACACAACACGTTGAAGCGAAAAGAAGGAAATAAAGACAAAAGCCAAGGAAGCAACACAAAAGATTCTCAACGTGCCGGAAGCTGGTTAGCGCCGAGCTGCTCCACGTTATTTCGGGGCAAGGAAGAGGCAGTGGATTGGATGGATCATGGGCATGGCCTTGCAGAGGTGGGATGGCCAGGGACAGGCAGCACACGCGGGGTTTGCCATGCCAGGGAAACGTCTGGGATTGCTGGGGGCTGCGAACCCTCTGATCCTACAACCGCCGGCGTCATAGGACAGGCTGGCTGAACAAGGTCACCTTCCAGCCCTCCTCCAGAACAAGGCAAGGAGAGGCTCTGCTCTGCAAAGGCGCAAATGTGAGATGTATGTTATGTGCTGAATGCTCCAAATGAACGGGGTAAGCGGGACTTACCTTTTCTCCCCCTTTCCACAGGTCTGCAAAGTGCAGACCCTCGCGGATCCCGCTCAGGCCAACGTCCCAGCATGCCCTCAGCTGGTGATGTCCCACCCACCACTGAAGACTGCCTAGAGGGGTACAATGCAAGTCTGGTTTCGGTTTTTTTTTAAACAAGGTTGCACCTTTTTGTAAAGTTTTCTGCCAGTCGTTCTTTATCAACAGTGGGCGTTGGGGGGAAAAGGGCAACTCTACAAAAAGGTGCAAAGGCTGGGGGGGAGGGGGGGATTTGGCTTACCCCTATCGGCAGGTTCCTCAATGGTGGGTGAGGCGAGACCAAGAGAGGGCATGCTGGGGGCCCGCACCGAGCCAGGGAGGGCAATCCAGGGTTGCTCTGCACTTTGCAGGCCTGCGGAGAGAGAAAGAGCGACAGCGACGTTACCACGACACCGAGCGGCTCGGGACACTCAGCACGGGACGGCAGAGAAGGCACCTCAGGACAACCTGCAAGTCCTAAATGTGGGAAGCACTGTCGACCTCAGGGGGTTTTGTAGACCAGATGGTGCTCAAGAGAAACCACAGCACCGAAGCTACTCCAAGACACCCCGGAACGAGGCGCCGGCCACGACACTGCTCCTGAGCCAAAGATGTTACACTGAGTTAAAATCACCAGGTTTGACTCCTGGAAACCTGCACACTCGGAAGTCAGGGTGATTCAGAGAACTCTTCTGAAACCAGCAGGTTTGAAAGACCAAGGATGGCTGTGTCATTAGACACATCTGGATGGATACACTGGATGTATCTTAAGAGATGAAAACCAATGATTGCCCCCAACGGAGTCGGTGTCTGTCCTCCGGGGTGGCACATGCTGGGGGCACCTGTGCCCCAAGAAAAGAGATGGCAAAGGCAAGAGTGACGAGTTCAGAGAGGGATTTCAGGATGTGGGCACAGCCAGACACAGGGAAAAGAAGAAAAAACGAAAGAAAAGGCAAGAAAACAAGGAATGAAGTGACTGCAGCAACACACGGAAGCACAAAGAAAGCAAGAACACACAGGCACCGTGTGCATTTTTTGTGTTAGTAAAATCTGTTCGCTCTGTTGGTGTGTTTTGTGGCACAGCCTCCCCCAAGGACACGCAGATGCCGGGTTGTTGTACGACGACGGCACGACCGCAACCGACGGGTCCTGGGGTGGAAACACCTCCACCCCTCACACGGGGAAAAGGGAAGGAGACCAAGCCAATACGTACCAGTGACAAACATCCACAACGGTCTCTAATGTGCCTAAACTTAGTCAGCCAAGCAAACCTCACCCCTGCATTCATCCTGCCAAAACCAGAGCCACCGGCGCAGCGGGAGAGGCCCGAAAGCCTGAGGATGGACTTCATCGGTGTTAACACCAGTTTTTAAAGGAGCAAGTTGGGGTAAACTCACACTTCCAGACACGTTTCTTCCCCCGGGGGCTTGCCTCCCAAAGTCAGCAAAGGCTGGGGTGAAGTCTGGGCCTCGTGGCAGGATCCGGGGGTCCAGCGTTCGCAGCGGCAATTTCGGCTGGTTGACCTGCACCGTGGACAGAGCACACAGACAGGGCTGCTCAGGGTGCTGAGCTACCAAAGGTCCTGTCACCTACAGCCCACCTCTGACAAACCATAACAGGTGTATTTAATATCCAAATTAAAGCTTATAACGAACTGTGGAAGGTTTATGCATCCACACTTAACACTAAAAACGAGCATTGAATTTCAAATACATCTTCTATATGCAGAGGGACTACTGAGGGAAGAGGTGGAGTTCAGAAACGTTTCAAGGTTGAACAGGAATTATGGAAGATAAGAGGCAAGAAAACATGGGCCTGCCTTGGTTCAGGATGACAAAGCTGCCACCTTTCCTCAAACCAGTGGCTTTTGGGCTAAAAAGGCAAATGGGCAACCGAGCCAAGGACTCAAACACAGACAGGGCAGTGAGAAGCAATCACAGGGAACTAGGAGGTGGATGAAACAATTCTGGGGACAAAGCTGTGTTTTACAATTTTCCTGGGTATGAAACTCAGAGTGGAAATGTTTCTGCACAGGAGGATCACCTGTATTCTGGAATCTCAAGAGCAAATTTAGTGGTACATCAAAACCAATGAACTCCCCAGTTCTAATGAAAGCAGAAGGCCTTGGTGTCAGCGCTGAAATCCCAAGCCCAGACCTACAGCAGAGACAATCAGCTCTGGAACAAGGTTGCATGGAAGTCACAAAACTGCCTGGGAATTGAGGTCTTAAAGATCTTTTATTAGATCAGCTCATAAACAGTGACACAACTGCTTCAGATCAAAAAAAGAGTTCACCCCAAAGCTTCTCTCTGTTTTTTAACCATCGAACTGATCTGATATGAGCCACTGGCCTTATTTGGATCCATAGCTCTTCGTGGCTGCATCATTTTAAATTTTAATAACAGCCTGGCATAACTTAACTCAGACAAAGCCCATTAAAAGCACTTTGGTTTTTGATCAGCTGTGCACACTCATTAGGCACCAACACCTCTGTCTGAAGAACCGTGTGGTGTGACCAACGATTTGCCTTTCCCACCCAAAGCCTGCATGGAAAGGGTCCAAGCACAAGGGATCCATGCATTAGGGATCTTTATTGCTACCAAGCCCTGCACGTACCTGTTTTATGGGCTCTCCTCTCACCTTGTCGAGCACCACGTCGCTGATGGGAGGGAGCCCCTCCGGCTTCTGGATACAGGCCGGCATGAACTGGATATCCAGCAGGAATTCCCGGTCGTACTGCTTCTTCCCCTCCGGGTCCAGGGGCTTCCACTGCTCTATAGGGAGAGAAAGGCCCTGAGATTCCCAGGAGACAAACCCAGGCGTGGCTCCGGTAAATCCGAAGGGAAGAGGTCGTTCAGCTGCCTGGGAAATTGTCATTTATTTCCAGTGTGAGGAGGGGAATTTACATGGCATTAAAGGGACATAAACAGTGGGGAGCAGAGAGCCAGGTCCAGAGCAACCACACATGATCTGGGCACTAATTCCAGTCCTAACCCATTAATTCCAGTTCTCACTCTCCTGCGGGATATGACGAAACAGGGACAATTCCCAGATTTTGGGTGAAAATGTAGAAGTTAAAGCAGTGTAAAAGGGAGTGATATACACACAGTCAAGGAGAGCACTGCATGGAACAAAAATATCCTTTGAAAACGTGAAAACACGGAGCTGTGAACAACCCAGGCTGGAGATAACGGGGCAAACAAGAAAACACAACCACAGGCCATAATCCCAGAATTCCAACCTTCCACCCATTTTCTGGGTGTGAAGAATCCTAAATCCTAAAACCTACATGGCAGATCAGCACCTGGTGGCCTGGAGACGGGGTTTTCAGCACTGGTCACACAGTTTGTTTGAAATTAGGGAAGAAAACATGTTTTATCTGAAGGAAAACATCCGTAGGAGGTGCTGCCTTTGGATCTCGTTGATGCCAGAGGGCTCAGCATTTACCCAGCCCTTCAGATACTTATTATTTCCTTATTTCACTCCCTGTCCACTGGCTTTGGGTCTCTGGGATCTCACCATGCACATCCTCGCAGAGGCCACAAACAGGGACTTATTCCAATGATGGGTTTTAACAACTGGGAATGAAAGTACAGAGAAGTAATTACGAATTTTGGCTCTTTGTGTAGTTTTAATTCTGCAGAGCTTTGGGATAAAGGGGGGCAGGAGTGGTTTGCCTGGGTAGCTGCATCCCAGCTGGAATTCCTGGCCTGTCCACTGTGCCACACTGCCCATTTATCATGAAAAAGCTCTGACAGCAACAACAAACAGTTTATGTGTAGTTTCCTTCTCCTGTAAAGTTCTCAATGAGCTGTTTCAACGTGAAGACCAGCTGGGCAGTGTCACAGGAAGGATCTCCAACCCAGGAGACACCAGGATCAAATGCACAATTCCTTCAAAGGGCAAAAATTCCCCTTTTTAGAAAGAGCAGGGCTGAAATCGAAGATTATTACACAAGTCCAACGTGTGTTGCTTTTCCAACCCCTCCAGCTGAGTGAAAGGACATCCAGATCCAACTGGGATTGTTCTGACTGCATCATGTGTTGGGGAGAGACAGCTGATGAATTATGGATTAACTCCAGGAAGTGCTTGGCTAATGAACTGCTCAGGTACCCTCAGTGTGTGCTGAACTACCAGGAGGCCTCTGTGTTTCCTCCCAACGATATGATCGTCCTGAATTAATAAAACCAAAGCAATCAAGGTCTTTGTCAGAACAAAGTGGTGCAGAAATAACCACCTTGGTGTAATCCCTTAATGGTGCTGCTCCTTGTCCAGTGCCTGGTCCACCAGGCTCTCCAGGTCCTTCCTTATTGTTATTATACTCTTTAATTTCTGGGCTCCTAAAAAATAAGTAATTTATTTGGAAGGAGCTTCATCTGAATAAGAAACGGCTTAAAAATTGGCAGCAACTGACTGTCGAGGTCTCTTTTAATGAGGTGAATTAACTGAGGTTCAGGTCTATAAATTATCTTCATAAATAACAAAACACCCCTTAGATACACTATATCCTAATAGGTGGGATAGAGCTGGACAGAACCTGGATTGAAAACCATAAACTGTTTCTTTTCCTTACTCTTCTGGAAATCTGAAGATCCTTGCAACTGTTCAGCCAGGAAATGAAATCTCTATGAACACACATATTCATATTTAGGACCCAGCGAGCACTTTCACATGTCTGATTTCAGAGGTACATCTGAAATAATGGAATTATTTATGGGATTTATATGGAATTCCTTGGGTGGTTCTCAGTCGTCGGTCACAGGAACCAACTCACCGCCATTTCCACGGTGCTGCAGCCAACACCCACAATAAATTCAAGGAACTGGGGATTTTCTCTTCTCCTCTTCACGAACAGCAAGAGAAAAATCAATTTTCCCCTTGTGCTGCCCCAGAAGGTCCCTCAGGGCCTGTTGGTTAGTGCATCCTGGCAGAGCTGGACATGGTGAACACTGAACCCCCTTCCACCCATCTGTGGGGACGACACACGGGGTGCCACCAGCCCTCAAAGCAGGGAGGCAGAAAGGCCAGGAGGGAAGCAGGACTTACCTGGTTTGTACTGGTACACGGGCCCCTCGCTGGGGGTCTCTGCACAGCCGGAGTGTGGCTCGGTGCCCTCGCCCTCGGAGACGCTCTCGGCCCCGTTCCGCACGGGCTCCGCCTCCTGCTCCCCGTTCTCCTCCACGGCCTTCGCTGCCTTCAGCTCCGAGGGCTCCCTCTCCAGTTGAGGCCCATGGCTCATTTTCTCCTGGTCAGATTCAAGTACTTTGTCTCCTGAAGGTTCCTCCTCTTCTTTAGGCTGGAGCACAGACAGAGGCAGAGGTTTGTTGGAAACACCCTGACAAACCCAACGCACGCGAAACGGCTCTTGGCCAATCCACACGGCATTTCTGGGTGCAGCAGGAACACAGATGCATCTCACACAGGGATGGGGAACACCACAAGAGCCACCAGGTGATTTATCAGCTCATTCCCATGGATAACCCCCCGAAAACTAACACTGCAACTGGAAAGACTCAGCGTTGCCCATGAAATTCCCAAGGGATTGGATGGGAGGAACTGTTAAGCCCTGAGAAATCACAGCCTGGAAAGACAACCCTGCTTTCCTCCTCTCCTACCATCCATGGTAAAGGGATGGTAAAGGGGCTCTTTCGGGGGATCCTTCCTTTATATGCCTGTTGTTAACTGGAGCAGATCCCACTGAGGAAGGTACAGCCACAATTCCAGCATCTTAGTTTCAGGAAAAACAGCAATAGTATCCCTGGCTGTTAATTTTAGAGCTCTCCAAGGACACAGCCTGATTGTGCACTCAGACGGAGGAGGCGTCGGAACGCGCTTCCCCTGGGAGAAATCCCAGCACATCCAAGCACTGAACAAAGGAAAAGCTTCACTGAGGAGGCTCCCGATCCTTCCCCCTCCCCACCTGAGGGCACCACATCCTACCATGCTTTTTGCAGATTTTTAAAGGGAATTCTCTGAAAAATCTGCACTGGTGGAATTCCTGGGTGGGGCAGGAGACACGACTCCTGCAATGAAGGATGAGGAAAGCACAGGAGATGAACCTGCTGGTGCAGCCCCAGGGATGCCCTTTGCTCTCCTCCGCATCATATCAGGCCAACATCAGTTTTTACCCATGGACTGGGCAGTCTGAACTTGCACATTTTTACTCTCTTCCTCCCTCTCTGATTGATTCTAACCCCAGTTTGACCCAGGATATTAAGGAAAGAGCTCCTTCCTGAGACATCCCCACTGCAACGGCACCGAGGGGGATTCTCTTTACTCATCTAAATTACTCTTGAGGTGGTTTTGCCCAAGAACTTCAACATTTTCCTTTCTCAGCTTCTCCATCAGCTGGTCATCAGGAAAGCCAACCTTTGGCCATGACATCCCTGTGCAGCAGAACCTGCCCCGTGTCAGGACGGTGGCCTGGGACCCAAACGGGGCAGTGCTGAGGGATTCAAACCCACCCTTCACTGAAGGACAGCAGTGTTCCCCAACACTGGGAGGCTGCTGGAAGCCTACTGGAACCTCCTAGTGGAAGGTGTCCCTGCCCATGTCTTTAAGGTCCCTTCCAACCCAAACCACTCTGGGATTCTGTAATTCTCTGAGTCACTAAATTAGGCAAAACCAAAGAAAACTGAAGAGCTTTAACAGGGAACAGACTAAACCCTGTTATCTAAAGGATGCTGAGGAATATCCCAGTTCCTCCCCAAAACTCTGCCCTGGATCCTGTGAGACAACGAGGAAGCAACATCTCTAGAACACAGTTCCAAGAGAGCAACATCCCCATTAAATCTGGGGAAAGCAGGATCACGGGCCCCTCTTACCTCTGTCTCCGCCTCCGTCACCTCCTCAGTGGCTTGGGTCCGGTCTTTTGGTTTCTTCCAGGTCTTTGGTGCAGTTACAGCTGTTTGGGCTGCAATGGAATTGTGTATCTGTCACAACACTAAATTACACAGAGCTACACTGGCCCTGTGGGATGTTCTTCCCTCTCGTGGGCTGGTCTGAGGTGCAGGAAAACGAAGCAGCCGCAGGATTCAGCCTGGCTTAACCACTTTTGGTTTCAGTGCAGTAACAACAATCATCAGAATGGCATTAAAACACAAGAATTGTTTTCCAAGTTGCTCATTCAAGCTCAGACTGGCACTTGGAGTAGCAAGGAGGTCATTGCCAACAGCATAAAGATGAAGCAGGGCAAAAGAGAGCCTTCAGAAAGTCAAGTTTTTTGAAAGAACAGGTACTGGCAGGGAGGGGAGGTTGTTCTCAACATATTTTTCTCAAGAATTATTATAAGAATTATAACATCATTATAATATCAACCATAAACAGGCCTGAATTTCCAGTATCTCATCCAAAAGGACAACTCCTCCAATCCTGCATCCTTGCTCTGAGCTGGATTTATATTTCAATCTTTAAGCAGCTTCACAACTCCACCATTAATTATCTCTCTGCCTGACTGAGTCAAAGAAAACACCACAGAATATTCCCAAAATCAGCAGTGATTTACTCCAATCATTTTTTCCCCCAAAGGGAAAAGAAACCACACAATATATTAAGGAGGCAAACCCATTAATCCAATCTGCTCCTAATTTGCAGCAAGTGCTCCCAGCCCAGATTCGGATCCCAGGCACACACACGCCCAGTTAACAGGGTGTAAATGGGATTGATTTCGTGACTGAAGTTTACTGCAAACAGATTTCCAGCTCCAGCCTTTGGTTTCCAGCAGATACTCTGGAAAAACCCAGCGTGCACTTCCTTTATCACAATACAATACAATTTTGAAAGGCTCTTCACTACGGATAAGTGAGAAAAATGAGTAACAGTCAACTTCCAAAGGGCAAGGAGGAAACAGGATTTGTTGTGTTCCCACTATCCTAAAAGATACATATGAGCCTTGGTGGCTTCTCCAGGGTGTTTCCCTGTTTGGTGGGTGACTGTGGATCTGCAGACTCCCTGTGAATTCCCATGGGAATCACCACAGCCAGCACAGCCACCCCAACCCAAAGTGCAACATTGCCATCGATAAAGGATTTTTACCTTCATGCTGAACACCCCAAAAGTGAAGGTTAATTTAAAAAAAAAAGTCTTATTTAAATCTTCAAAGATCATCTGGTTGTTCAGAGAGCTGATGGTTCATGAGGAGCTGGAAGAATCTGGGTCTCCCAAGCTCTGAGTCCTGCACGTCCCATCCATTGCAGCTCCCCATGGAGAGGCTTTACAAGCAGGGCAGAGCCCCAGCATGAATCCTGAATTTCCTGGGGCTCAAAGGAGGGGAGAAGGGCCAAGCAGGCATGGATTGCATGGATTGCAACAGGGCTTTGCCTTACACAACCAGGATCAGCCTTTTGCTGCTCACGGCAGCTCCGGCACCTCAGCAAGGACAGCTGAGCTATTCCCACCATCCCGGGCTGAAACCAGGCTGGGGAACAACCAGGTGGTGATTCCTGGGATTTACCAAAGCATGGATCTAAGTAAGGCTCCACAGTTCCCTCTGTCACAAAAATCTGCTATAATTCAGTGAAAAAGGAGTGTTTTTCAAAAGCCAACCCACTGTTTTCAGGCTGGACATCGACGGCTTCTTGTTTGGTGGTGCCACTTCCACACTTCCAGGGGATTTCTCCAAGGAGGGGTCACGTCTGCACAGCAACAACCTCAACACTGCCACTGCCAAGCAATTTAACTGATTAACCCCCACAGCTTTTCATCTGACAGAATTTCACTCCTCTCAAGCTCCAACCATGGAAATCATCCACAGTGTAAAATAATGTTTCATTTTTAACCGCACAGAACTAAACTCCGGGGTCATGGATTTGGGGCTGGGGTGTTTCCTTCCTCAGCTGGCAAGATGTCTAACATTATTGCTGTTCAAGAATACACTTTTTCCACCTTTTTTTGGCAAAAGAAACCTTTGCAGAGGCTGAGACCCTGCCAATAAGTCTTGCCTTAAATCCCAGGGCTCCCATCACCCGGTGGTTCCGCAGCAACACTGGCCTGTGTGGTGGAGCTGCCCAGGGTGGATCTCCAGAGATCTCTGGAGATGTTGCTCAACTTTTCCCCTCTTAAAATAGCAGACAGCAGGTTTCTTTTCTGCTGTTGAGTTCTCCTTTCTGCTGCAGGAATGGATTTAAAGGAGAATTTATGCTGATCCGCTTAGAAATCAAGGTGAGTTTAGGTGCCAACCCTCCCAACCCCAAAATCCATCAGGACAACAGCAATGTCCATCTGAGTGGAGTTTCAGCTCTGAGTTTCACTCCAAAAGCCATAGGGAGATGCAAAGTTCTGTGTCCAGCTTGGCTCTTGGCAAGGGAGATCTCCAGACACTTCCTCTCAGTTTTCCTGTCTCCAAAGTTGAGCACCTTCACATGCACACATAGTTTAATTCCTGCCCAAATGCAGCTCCATTTCTGAAGCATTTACACTTCAGAGCTTGTTTTTGGCCCATTAGATCATTCCATTCCCTTGGAGAAGGGACACCAGCAAACCCAAGCAACACTCTGAGCTCTTTGTTATCTCTGCTTACAAACACAAGGGAGATAAGGAGTGACAACATGGATACACTTTAGGACTGGAATGAGGAACAAACCCTTATTTCCAGCCCATCCCAGACACCACTCCCAGTGCTAACAGCACCACTGGAGGAATCTGCTCAGCAGGCCCAGAGCTACCTCAGCCCATTTCTCCAGCTGCATCACGTTCCTCCGTGGAACATCTTCCCACAGGAGCTCCCCACCAGCGAGTCCACAGCCCATCCAGTGGGACAGGAGGCCTCTCCTCTCTGATGTGGTGCCAACTGTGAAGCCTAAATTAATACCAGCTCTTGTATTTTTACTTTTTTATCCAACATGCCATGAAAAACCAAAGCAAGGACCCACCACTGCCTTCCAGCTCATGGGAAAGAAAACATATTCCAGTGGCTACAGCAGCAAATCAAGAAAAAGGCTACACCTGATTTATGTTTCTGCCTCTCTGGGTTTGGGTGCTGGAGATGTTTCTCCAAGATATTTCCAATTACTGCCCCAAGTTGCCCGTTACAGCCCCCACAGCTCAGGCACACCGGGACTCGCTGGCAGCTGGGCTCCTTTATATTGAAATATGTCTCATAAACGAGCTCTGCAAGAAACAGCCCTTTGAATTCCAAGGGTAACAAGCTCTTTTGGCTTCCTGTGTTCCAAGGAGTTCTGCCTGGGACAGACACCCATCTCTTATTTCCCCTTTTGCTCCTCGTAATAGCCGGGACACAACAGTGACATCAAAGGCCTCAAGGCTCTGGTAGCACCTTGTCTGCAGAAATTCCACTCCACTAACAACATTTTTCCTGTTTGAAAAGTGCTGGTCCCTCACTGCAGCTGCAGAAAAGCCAGAATTTAATAACAAAATCAAGTCCTTGATGACTTTTAGCCGATGTTGTTTTGGGTACGGATCGCAGGCAGAGCACCCAGTTCCTCTCTTGATAATAATAATATCTGTATTTTTCTGCTTGCAGTGAACATGAGTAGGGATTAATTACTTTAAAAGCCACATGCTCGTGCTCTTTGCAGGTAACAGCTCTGCCCACTCCAGAAAATCATTCCTGAGGAGACAGGAACATGACCTGTGCCCTCGGACACGGTGAACATGTCCCGTCTAACCCCACACTTGGGGGAATGCTCAGCCCAGGAACGTGGTCAGCAGCAAGCAACCACCCACCTGGTACAAGGGCCTGCAGTTCTCCATGGTTTAGTGCTCCAAAACCCATCAAATCTTCCCCATTCCCACAGGGAAGCAAGACCAGTGATGCCAATGAGCAGGGAATGATGATCCGGTGACTGGCAGACATTGAGACTGAACCACTAAAACTTCACTGTGCAGGCCAAGACAACTGAAGGTGTTCAGAGTGGGTAAAATACAGTGTAAAATACAACAGAAGTGCTCCTGTGGAATCCTCTGACCTTGGAAATCTGGTGGAGACCTGATGCCAGTGGAAAAGAAAGAGCAGAGGTTCCCCAGATCCCCGAGGCTCAGCTCCGGCCTCTCCCTGCAAACACTGACAAAGTTGTTCTGTTGAGCTGTGAGAAAACTGCTGGAGGATGAAGATGTTTAAGAGTATTTTCTCTCTCTCTCTCTTTCTCTCCAGAGTTTGATGGAGCAAAAAATCACAGTCTTGTTTCCCTGACCACTGGACAGAAGGTGTGTTCTGGAAAGCACTTGAGGAACAGGCAAATCATTCCATTCATCCCTGAAAAGCTGTTGCCTGCATCCCAAAATACCTATGAGTCTTAGCAGGACTGCCCTGCCAGGTCTGGGGGGAGGGGGATGAAGGTCTCATTCCCAAAATTAGGCAGGCAGGCTATAACTATGGAGAGGACAGGCGGGGGGAACTGCTGCAGCACTGAGATTATTCCGAGGTCACAATCCTGCCCCAGTCAGCCCAGCTCAGCTCCCTTCAAAGGCAAAGCAGTGGGATGATGATTTGTGGCTGCTCTGAAATAAAACACAATTCTGCTGAAAACCCCAAAGCAATATTGCTCCAAGTCACAGAGCTCAGGGCTGCAGCACGTGCTTGAGAGGTTTCCCTTATCCCAGTTTCTCTCCCAACTCCAGAGATCACAAAAAAGACTCTTGGCCTTCAGTCCAAGGAAAACACACCACGGTAACTCTTTCTCCCTGCTCCCGAAGTTCAGCAGCTGGATTTTCCAATGTATATGGCAGACAGTTCCTTGTTCCTGCATTAACAAGCAGCTTCAGATGATGTTATTTCAATCCCTCTTCCTCTCTCCAAGAAAGAACTGGAAAATTATTGCTCAAAAGAGGGCTGGCAGAGAAATGCAACAGTTCGAGATCATTAAATCAGGGGTAAAGCACAAAACGCCACTTGGAGAGCTTTTTGCTTTCCTTGAAGCCCTGAGCTTTTAATAGAAATCTGAGTTTCAAGTCATCTTTTACATGACTTGAGAACTATTTCTCTCCCTGTTGCCAAAGCCAATGGCTTGGCTAATGTGTGCTGTGGAACCTAATGACATTAGAGCATTAAAATTAATCTTGTGCATAATTAAAAGCCCCAAACACTGTAAGTTAATTTTTTTTTAATTTAAACTCCAGGCCATTACAAAGACAGCAATAACAGCACAAGCTGGAACCTGCCTGAGCAAAACCTTATTTATGGAGTCCCTTTTCTCTCCTTTGTAAGGAAATTAATTTGGGTTATGAAGTAGCTCAGATTGAAAGAACAACAAGTGCCAGAGCAGTGAAATGACCCGAGTAAAATAAAAATAGAAGAAAATTAACAGGAAAAAACCCCCGTGGCTGGTGTAGTGAAGGGATCTTTCTGATCTCCTCTAGATATTGGATTTTATTTAAGATCAGCATATTGACCTACAGCAGCCTCACACAAACATGGAACAGGGCCAACCTCAGCTTTACATTTCATTTAATCCAGAGCAGAGCCTGGCCTGAGATGTGCTGAGGCCACTCCCCATCTACAAAAGAATAAACTAAAAAAACCCCTGTTTTAAATGTTACTTAAAAAAGCCCCAACCAAACAACCAGAACAATCCCTGTTTTAAATGCTACTTGAAAAAAAACCAACCAACACATAACCAACAACAAGACCCAAATCACAACTGACTTTTTGTCCCTTTTTGTCCAAACTTTACCAAATTCCAAGGAATTTAAGTAACCCCAGAACACGGTGTAGAATATATGACACATGAAATGCTTTAACACCTCTGGGGTGCAGAACAGCCACCATTACACCCTCCAGCAGCAAATATAAGGAACTGATTGATTTAACTTCTTTTCCATAGTTTCACCTCCAGGAATTCCTGAAAAAAAGCAGTTTTCCATAGAAAACACAGCCAAGAAGACAAGCATGGTCTGTGTCAATCCATGAAATGCCACACCAGGGATGTCACAGGGCTCAAACCAAAGGTAATGACCTGGAGAAACAGGCTGGGCTTTAAAAGGCAGCTACAGAAATTGCAATTTTTAGTGAATTTCAAACTGTAAATCATAAAATTTAAGTTTAAAATTGTAAACTTGTAAACTGTGGAGTTTGCTTAGATGTTCCTTTTGCAGAGGAAAAGCAAAAGCCTCACTAACCAAGGCTGGGCAGGTGGAGGTGTGTGACACTGGCATGACCCTGGGGTGGGACACTGGTCTGGAACAGTGTGTGTGACACTGGCTGTCCTTTGTCTGGGAGAGCTTTGATGGTCCACTGCACTTCCCCACGTGTGGTAACACTGTGCCACATTTTTATAGCTGGAAAAAGCCCCGCTCCAGGGGTTTTGGGAAATCCCTGGCCCAGGATGTTCATCCCAAGGGCTTCAGGGCCCAAGTGTTTTTATCAGGCTCATAAATCCAGAGCCACAGGTCCTTGAACCAGCAACTCACTGGGGGAGAACAGTGTTTGTGGCTGCCCCATCCCTGGAAGTGTCCAAGGTCAGGTTGGAAAGGGCTTGGAGCAACCCGGGATAGTGGAAGGTGGTGGAACAAGTTGAGCTTTAAGGTCCCTTCCAACCCAAACCATTCCATGCAAAGCAGTGTCCTCTGAATTCCCCCTCCAACAGCCCTGTGTCACCGTGAAAGCCAAACCCTTCTGGCTCACACAAACCCATCCCACCCCAGGACACACATCCAAGCCAGGGGCCTCCTTTAGGAACAACTTCGAGGGTGTTTTATCCCTGCAAACCAAGATCAGCACTTTGCAACCACAGCAGTTACGCAGCACAGCAGGAATTTTTCCAATAGAAACACCTGCTGGAAGAAGAACCCCAGAGGCCCCTTTCCTTCATCCTCCACACCAGCCCACGGTGCCAAGGCTTACCTGGGACAGGACTCTTGCTCGAGTTGACACTCGGAGCCTCCGCGCTCTCCTCCAGCTGCCCATCGGCTTCCGGCTCTTCCTTCTTTTCAGCATCTTTCACCTCTTCGCTAAGAGTAGTTCTTGTGCTCTCCTCTCCTTCTAAATCCCCCTGGACAACAGGGAGGGCACTCGGAGGCGGGAGAGGAGGTGGAGAAGGAGTTGTAGTGGGAACAGCAGCAACGGCAACCGGAGGAGAGGGAGGCGGCG